AGTCGGTGAGAGACACATCGGATATTGTTGTCTACTCGGACGCCTCCGGGCGCGAGGGTCACCTGGGATCGGCCATCGTCGCACTTAACGGTGACGATGAGATCTCGGAGTCTCAACAGACCCAGGTGGGGCCAATAGACCGCTGGTCGGTCCACGTAGCGGAACTCATAGGCATCTTCTATGCGGTGAACATGGTGTTCAAGTTAGCCCACCAACGCCTAACAGACGGAAACAGTAGGCACACAACCGCAACAATACTCTGTGACAGCAGATCAGCTCTGCAGGCAATCCAAAACCCGAGGAACAAATCGGGCCAGCGTATCGTCCATGTAATCATACAGGCAGCCTCCGAGGTTCAGACAGCGAAGGTCAGACTCCGTCTTCAGTGGATTCCAGGACATTGTGAAGACGTCGGGAACGATGCGGCAGATCGGCTCGCGAAGGAAGCCGCGAAGCCGGGTAAAACCCACCCCTTCCGACCGCTGCTGTCGAGGGAGAACGCGTTTGTCCGCGGCAAGATCCATGCCTAATGGGGTCAGGAGTGGAAGGAAAGCACCAAAGGCGCGCACCTACGGAAAATTGACGGGAACCTACCGGCACGGTACACGAGAAAGCTCTACGGGAATTTGCCCAGAAATCGTGCATATCTGCTAACACAACTACGCACGGGCCACAACTGGTTATCCACTTACGCGAAGAAATTCGGCTTTCGTGAAGATGATCTGTGCGAGTGCGGCGCACAGGAGACGGTCACCCACGTATTGTTGGACTGTCGAAACCTGCAAGAGCCGCGGGGTGAACTGAGAAGAAAAGTCGGGGACGCGTTGGGCAGCGTGTCGAGTCTGCTGGGAGGCTCAAATGAAGGTGAGAAAGGTAAACCAGACACCGTCTCAAGGGCGAAGACGGTTCAGGCCGTATTGGACTTCGCCGAGGCGTCACAGCGGTTCCGCAGTCGTGCGCCAGGAGGGCAGCCTAACAATGGGAGCGGCAATGGGCCAGGATAGGCCGTGACGAGGCTCTAAGTTCCTGTCAGGAAGTGGATCATTCTCAATGTACACACTCGGATATATAGTTGTCGTATGCTGCATATCGCTTCGGCGAGAGGTCGGCGTAAATGAATTCTACTACTACTACTACTGCTGTAGTACTTTTCGGAGGTAGCAATTCTTCACCGTCTCGGAGCCAGCACTATGTTCAACCTGTACCTTATGAACATCGCCATTCCCGACTGAGTGATTGTTCACGAAGAATCCCCGAAATTCCTGGATTTTACCCCAGACCCCCCAGTCCCGTCAGCTCGCCGCGAGAGTACTGGCTCCAGTCATTGAGAATGCTGATCAATCGCTGTCGAGACAATTCCAGCTCTCGATCCAAAAGAAGCAATCGAGACTGCTGCTCTTTAAAGTGGAGTTGAAGTCCATCTCTTTCATTTTTGAGATCCATGTTGGCCTCTCCCGATGTTTCGTTGTTCTTTTCGAGGCTCTCGCCATCGAGGTGTTTGGACACGCACGACTTCCACAGACTTCGATAGAGACCCAAGAGTCGCGCTCCTTGGAAGGCTAAGCTTGGATCATCCCGCCCAAGGTCTGCCAAGAGACTCAGAACACGCTCAAAAGGCTCGTTAACTAACGTGACTCGCTCGACCGTTATCAACAGCGAGTGTGGCATACGGTCATCAGCCAGAATAGTCAACACGATCGGGAAACCATAGTCACTTACCACAGGGGGTACTTTCTTGGGGGTTGTGTCCAGGTTGGCAGGATTGCCACAATCTGGCATGTGATTCGGCGGAAAATCAGGCTGCTTACTTTTCTCCGCGTCTTGTCCGATTTGAATGCCTTCTGTGATATCTGTGTCGGCCATGAAGAGAATTAGATCTCGCTGATTATCTGGAGAACCTTTTCTGTAGATATCTCTTTTATAGGCTTATCAGACATAGGTTGGAAAATCAGGGATCAAACTCAAGGCGGTTGGTTCGTGCGGCGTTGATAGTTCAACAATAAATGACATTTCAAAATTTATGCCTCCACAGTGAAACTGATGATTCCAGCGCTAGGCTAAACAATGAGGTTTGCGAAGCATTTCACCAAGCCCTCAATTGATAAAGTAATTAAAGGCTTTTCTATAATTGGTACCGTCACTCATGAAGCATTGCTAGAGCTCTTTTTGCATCGATATTACTTCATGTTTGTTGATAAAAAAGTATAATAGCTAGGTCCACAAACTGCACTCAATACATCTTTATATGCGCAATTAAGTGTTAATCCACAGAAACTTAGTAGGATCTAGGGTCTTTTGATATTATTTACGGTGAAGATCGTAGTATGTAGGTTTTCGATCTGCTTCTATATTTGAGGGCCAATTGGCCCCATGGGATTGGAGGTTCTGCCTAAGATTTCACACTCACAGAATATACTCTCTGACGAATTTTCCGACATGCTTTTCCTCCTGCCTCTCCTTTTGAAACTACTCTTTTTTACGTGCATATTTGCAAGCCTCATCCCGGACCATCGATATGCGCAACTTCGCCTTTGGAACAATATCCATTGTTTTGGAAATAGTTTGGGTGAAGAAGGTATATACGGTAGCCAATTCGGTCAGTGTGTGCCGTTTCACGGCAATCATACTATTCATTCCACCAGCTCAAAGTTTGTTGACCTACGGTGCTCAGGCATGTTACTATTTTTCTAGAGGTAGATTCACAGCTGAATGTTTTCAGTTCTCCTTTATAATGACAGGAATTGCCATATCGGCGAGGTCGTCGTCCAACAAAAGATATGTATGAGTGACGGCAAAGGTTTTAGGTCGCAGAGATTACTCTGCGATGCTTGATTGATTTTATATGGTTCTTATTCTCAATATAAACTAGCATGAGGGAAATTGTCAGAGGCAGTGTGAGTGAGGATCGTAATGAGAAATCAGGAGCAATCATAGCTTCATAGTGTGACAGAATGCTCTTTGAGAGAATAAGACTCCGTCTTACAAGATAATGCATTCCAAACTGAATTTTTCGTCTTGAGATGGACATATGTACATATATATTCATAATATCTAAACAATGCATCCCTAGAGTCGAGCATCCCTCATGTCTCTATAATGTGGCCGTATAAACCCTACAAATCTCTTTCTGCAATCTGAACATGGAGATAATAGTAGAGGGTAACTAAATGATGAGCCATAGTCATATGATTTCTTGATTTGTGGATATAGCTGGTATTAATCGGAGCTATCGGCCGAGACCCCGAGCTTGCTGCAGAGTACAGCAGGCATTCCCCGGGCACCCTATATCGAACTCATGCTAACAGAAATATAACTTTGGAGAGAGACATAGAGCAAAATTATGTTCGATCTTGGCTGGGCAATCGTTAATATCTAGAGCCTGGCTCTAAACTGATCAACCTGCGTGTGTTGCTGTTGCTCTTTCAAATTCAGCCTGATAGGCCCAATATGGCGCTCAATTTTGGCAACGCTCTGCTTAAAATAGCCGATATGATGCTCCATATAGCCGAGACAATCTTACAAGACATTGAGCGGCTTGTGATCGAATGTTTGACTTCCTATACAGTGAGTTGTCAGCGTAGAATAATTACTCTCCAAATTGCCGCAATGATATAAACTCACGTTGTTAGCTATTGTTGTCTACTGCTTTCTGGCAAGCTCAAAGTGGCTGCATAAGGGATAACTTCGTTCTACCATTAAACATCAGCAGGTAGCTCATTAAGGTATCTCATAACTCACTGTGCTCGCAGCTTCGATCATTTCGAGGCCAGCTAAGGTCCATCTAATGATTTCCTAGAGGAGTGGCGGAGGCGGGACTGATGCTAAGCATCTTCCATGTTAGCATGATCCCAAATGACTGAGCAGCTACACTCACTTTCTGTTCGAAGTCTTCAGTTCGACAAGAACAGGCTAGTATGGTAGAACAGGCTAGGTTAATCACAATTACATGTCAATTTGGGGACAGTCCATACCAAAGAGTAGCCGGCAGACGAAAACCGTTCGAAATTATTTGACCCGGAGTGACAAATGAATGCTTGCGAACGACTGTTCTACTGTCGAAAGATCCGGTATGTATAGCATCGCAGCCAGTCATTCTGCTTGTGACGATACAATGACAATTGTAAATTGTGAGGGCACAAACAAAGATGATCCTCTAACTGCAGCTGGTTCAACATTTCATCATTGATTCAACGCAGGACTAAGAGGCATTGGATTTTTTACTCGGAGATCTAGTAGACGAAAAGCTTTTTCTCACTGTTGGCACCGTTTGAACAGACCTGGGGATGCGACAGAAAATTATAGATGGCTCGTTTCAACATTCATCACTATGGGTCCGTGCATTATTACGAAAGGTGAGGCGGCAACTGGTCATGCCATTTCATTCTACTCACCGATTAACCAGCCGAGCAAATGATGCTTCAACCCATTGAATGAAACCTTTAGGCATCTCAAGCTCAAACAGTGGGACACTGTCTTACAGAACTTCCTGACGTAAGTTCCGTTCTCGAGTAACGCATGTTACTCCTCGCTGAGATGACGAAAGTAGGACTGAATGGCATGGCAAGAATATACTTCCCCACGAAAGGTGAAGTGCAAGTCTCTTTGATCACGAATGTACTCTATAGGCGTGTAGATATAAGCAATAAAGTATTACCGGCGCTGAACAACTATGATCGGGTCAGCAAGACGAACTTCAGAGGTCCAAGAGAAAAAGATGACTCACGCGGATAAACTAGCTCGGCAGCGTCATAGTGTAAAACTTTGGCATAGTAAGCGGCTTCTGATGTAGCTAGTTTTCTAATTTTTCAAAGTCCTCATAGGAAAATATGAATTTGACCGTATGGAACATGAATTCCAAAGTGACGGATCGGGACCTCTTTCTGACCAAAGAAAATAATGAAAGACAACATATACAGTTCAAGAAAGAAGACAAGACTGTAAAAAAGTGAACCTTCCATCAATATCTCTTCTACCTCTGTCTATAATTCAGTTAAGACCACTTAATCATCATCTTTATACTTCCTTCTCTCTTTCCTTGTCAGTTCAACTTCTAAAATCCTTCCTTCAAATATCTTTTCTTGCAAGCCATTGTCGTCCCGATCAAAATAGAGCGCCCATGAACCCTCAACTTCCACAGCCATAAAACCCTCCCAACCCTCCAAAGTAATTCTCTTCTCGATTGGAGTGCAGTCCCACGGACCAACAAGATGGTCTTCCGAGTCTGTTCGCAAGCCGTATTTTACTTCATAAGTTTCTTCGTCCACGTATATCCAATTTAGTTGTGGAGGCTCATCGCAGATCGTAGAGACCATGCCTTCTCCCTTGCGGCCCCAGTTTCGCTCCGGATAGGGAAGAAAATATCCTGCGAATGGATGCTGTGATATATCGGTCCGACCCTCAGCCGTAGGCAACGCAATGTTTAGCTGGTTATCAACTGCATTAGCGAACAGCACAGGTTTGTTAGGTTGGCTTTCTTCGTAGAATACGTACCTTATTGTCGCGCAACACTATGGAACATCCATCAATGTACCTGCCCGCGTTTGAAGTCCTGGCGCAGGAAATGATGAGATTCGATTTCACACCTCTGTGTTTTTCTTTTGCATTTGTTCTTTGCCCTTGGCGGACCGCTTCAGTAGTACCAACGATCGCAGGACAAGCCGCTATAGCAGTAAGTAGTCCTAGGACCATGGTTTCTTGGTTGTTGTTTGGAGTTGAAATTATCTCCCATAATCATCTTATTCGAAAATAATCAAGGGAAATGGGGGCTCAGGCTCGCTGGTATATTTTTCTTGAAACGCGTCACCGAGGAGAATCTTAATATATTTCATCTATTTCATCCGCATGGTGTGACACGGCTGACATTATGACGCGTTATTTTCAACCCCATGTAGCCTCGCGCATGGTTTGGTACGGTTGACATTATGACGCGTTGTTTCAACCCCATCTAGCCTAGTGTCTATGAGCTATGGAGGCGTGCCTCATGGTGTTTCATAGGGGCCTGTACTCTGGTGCCACATTACAAGTTATAGCCCGCTTCTCTGTCAATACATAAAAGTGCTACATTTTCCCAACCATCCTGGTTGTAAATATAAAATTTCCAGTATCAATTCTCAGTCTTATCCTCATCAATACACAAATATGTCCCAAGTGTATGTCTCAATATCTCTTGAACTCCCATCCATTCGTGAGACTAATGATATCTACAGACATCAACAAGAAGTCAACGGCGAGGAATTTGACGAGGAGCGAACACAACTTCAGCCCCCTCCCAACCCTACAGGCGGCCGCAAACCCGCAAAACTCGCACGCAAGGCACCCCCGGCACAAGATTATCAGGATGATGTAGTCCCAGCTCCTCTTCCTGGTAGAAGGATTGGTCCGATTCGCGATTCGCGGATCAAGGACCGACCAGCGAAAGTGGGCGAGAAGGACAGCAGCTTGAAGATCAAAATTGAGCTGGATCTGGAAGTCGAGGTAGAGATCTATGCACGAGTTAAGGGCGATGTGACCATTGGATTGATGTGATAATTAGGTTGAAATCTATGCGAGAGTCAAAGGAGATGTTACCATTGGTCTATTGTAAGATGTGAGTTTGATTTCAGGTCTAAGCAACGGCATATTAATAACCATAATATAGTACAACATAGCTTGGCCTGGCGCTCTCCTTAGAGTGTGTACTCCGTTATTGCCTCATCGAACAAATGCGAGTTATATTTGCCGTGGAAGATAGCTGGTGTGTCTGAATTGATGATCTAAAAGAGCAAAATAATCCAAGTATCAAGGTTCGTGCATATCATTGTTGTCCAAAATGACTATTTGTAATGACATGAATGTTGCTCTCACTGCAATTACTTAAGGACGAGAGGATCAAGTATCTATATACCTAACATAAATTATGCATATCGCCTTTCCTCCCTTGCATCACAAACTCTCGCCGCCCTTGACGCCCGACGCGAGCGACCTCTTACCTGGGCCACTCATTGGCCTCATTGGAAATCGAAAAACCGGCCAACCACTGTTGGCTGATCAAGTCACGCTCAAGATCCGGCATTAATCATTAGTTCCCCAGATGATGAAGAGCACGCTTCTGGGCTGTGCGCCGCCAGAGACGAGTCCTCTATCTCAGGATGACTTGCCGCTGATCCCCACCTGGACGTCCTCGGAGACACCACTCGCTGTTTCAATCGATTGATCGCGGTGAGTAAGCAGCTAGCATCGATACCATGTGAAATCTTCCCTTACGACAAGCGGATCACTCTTAGCAAGCTCTCAGTATCCTTCCTGCGAAAAGGACCCTGTCCGCTGTGCGACCTAGACCTAGCGATCTCAGTTGGGCAGTCCTGTCTCTGTATGAGTCTCTCTTCGCTTCCCCGCCATTGTTTTCCACCTATCGCCCTTCAACTTTTCACACCGTTCAAAATCATTCCTCGCACATTGCACGCATTGCAAACCAAGTGGACTATATTGGAATTGTACTGCTAATTGTGGGGAGTTTTATTATGAGTATATTCTACGGGTTTTACTGCCACCCCAATTTGCAGAGAGTCTATTTAACCATGTTTGTCCTAACCTTTCTCCCCGTTCGCCTAGATGGATAAAACTTACATATATTTGCCAAGATCACCTCCCTTGGCCTGCTTTGTGCTGCGATTTCAGCAAATCCTCAATTTGGGCACCCCACTTGGCGACCTTTTTGGGCGGGGATGATCATCTCTCTTGGGCTATCAGCACTCTTCCCCATCGTTCATGGGGTTAGGAAGTTTGGCATTAGGCAGATGAACAAGCAGATCGGACTTTTCTGGGTTGTTCTGCAGGGTTTGCTCTATATTGTCGGAGCCTACATATATGCCGTGAGTAAAGAAACGTATCTTACTGTTACGCCAACCGTACAGTGAGGTATAGGAAATGCGGAGGAGATGCCTATCCAACACCGGAGCTGCCTGTTGATACATCACCTCGCTTACCTGCTTGCATGCGCACAGAGGATCTCCTCAAAAGGAGGAGCTGGTTCTTCTTAGGAGGACCAGCGATTAGTCTGAATATTATCCTACCCATTTCAGGCATATCTCACTTTCTTCACTCGTATCCTTATCGTATCAGGACGCTCTCCGGGGATTGTCCTAACACTTACGACCCAGAGTCTGATATGCAAATCTTCAGCTCCAAATCCCAGAGCGATCTCCTGGCCTCTTCGATATCTGGATAAACTCTCACCAGATTTTTCACATTATGGTGGTACTAGCTATAATGTCCCACCTTCGAGGATTGGTCGATGCCTTTGAGTACAATCATAGTGTCATGGCATTACATTGCTGACAAGAGATACAGTCAGTGGCTACCTTTTCTGTACTATGCCTAATAGGGGTCATCAGCGAAGATAGAAAACCGGTTTATGTGACGTCACATGTTCTTTCATTAGTCTTTCGCCGTGAGCGCAAGCTAGAGCTTGAAGTCTAGAACACATGCAAAGCTGCCCAACCGGGAAAGAAAACTGAATCCCATTTGCCAAGTGATTTTCCCATCCGATTTCTGGAATATGCCGCCATGCATGTAATAATAGGCAACGCCGAAGGCTCTTGCTTGTTACTCTGTATTTCCACATTCCTCTCTTGCTTGACTGCTCCTCAAATTATCTAATACGTAAAGGTGTCTTTCGAATACTAGTCTCATCGTTTCTCACAGAATCACACCCCCTACGCAAAGAGACGGGAGAGATGTGAGATCTGGCACCCTTTTCCGGAGGAATATTATTCCAGTATCGATAGATGGCAAAGCCTATAGAGGAAAGCATCGCAGCTAGCGATACGTTTCCTACCATGCGATCCAGGTCTATCAACCCTAACGGATCTTGCCAATAGCGAAAGGTTGAATCTAGGTAAATATTTTCCATCTGGAAAATATATCATTTTTCATGCTTCTAATATCGTCGAAGAGTATCGAAAAAGGCCACAAGGTGGATTTTTATTTGTCTAAAGAGCAGTTCACGCACATATGCCATATAGGTAACATGTCTCCGATCAGGCCAGCGACGACGGATTGGTCAGCGTTTTGAAAAGTGAGATGGAGTTCTGCTCGTTGTTCCTGGTGGCAATATTCGTTTAGCAAAATTGAAGAAGATTTCGAAAGCAACAATGCTATTTGGGATTGAATGAAGAGGGCATATTTCACTCATACGGGCCGATGGAGACTATGATGTGCATTCTGTGACCTCACAGGTGCGAGAAGCTGAGGTTTGCTCCTTGCTAATGTTTTCTTTTGATGTTCAGAGTTGAAATACTTTGAAATTTCGATTTGTAGGGACCAGAGACTTCAGTGGATCCTTCGAAGTCTTCAGCATGATTCCTGTTCACGTTGATAACCTTCGGGCAGATGCAGAACATACAATTGCATCCGTACCCAATTATTTTGATATACATTATACCAATGGTTGCATTAGATTCTCTCATAGCGCAATATGCCCAGCATCATATGGAAATAGTTCTTCATGTATTCTTAGCACGGCGGAGGAGGGGCGCTCGCACAAAAGAAAGCTCGATATGCTTTCTTTTCACTAAGGATTGTGCCCAAGGTCCACAGTACGCAAACGCATGGGCAATATTAGATGTAATAACCCAGGAGGGCTGTATCGACGATTTGAGGTATGTATTTTGTGGCTCTTACCTAAGGAAATACATTGAATCAAGCCCTGGGGGGCTGCATCGAATTGAACTACCTCAACATGACCGTCCATACACTGCGTGGTACAGTACTTTCGAGATTTGTGATATTTTAGAGGAGGCTGACATGAAATTATTCAACGTGACGCTCAAAAATGCCGCATCTGCCCATCGTTTTCTACTTGCTCTCCCTCCAATGCGATGGGCTCGACCATGCTGATCGCTGGAAAATATATTTTTTAAAAACTAGCGTTATTTGCAGGGCCTACTGATGAACATTAATTCGTAGAAGCTCACCGCATGAACGATGAAGGCCCCGGCAATCCACATAAAAACCCACTATATCCATTTGCCTGTTCTTCTGATTACACCCTTATCTGCGCCTCCTTTTGAGCCTTCATTTCTTCTCGCGTCTTCAATTGCGCATCCCTTCGGATTTTAGCGACACGGGCTTGGCCCATAGGCGTGCAATGGTGATTTTTGAGCATATCCGCTCGAGTAAAGAATACCTGACAGCCGCCAGAAATCCAATCTTCGACGACCATATGGATTCTCTTGTGTCGATTACAATTATTCTTTCTGACGAATCACTTCTGACAGACATCACAGACATACGGGCGATTCTGTGTCTGTATCAAAAGATGAGACTTGAGATTGTATAGCCTTTTGAAATTAATCTTGTTGTGATATAAGTAGACTTCCGCATGACCCAACCTAACCCGGATCAACCCGGAGTGGGTTGGGTTTTGGGTCAGAGTCCTCGACCCAGAACTGGGTCCGGGTTGTTGGTTTATTAAGTGATGCTTCAATGTTCATGTTATTGAGGGGAGTTGATTGTGTGTGTTGCATGTGTTGTCTAAGATACAAGTAGGCTGAGAGACAGGTATATATGTATGCACGTGATCCCAGCCTCATTATTATCTCAGCAAAGAAGTTTTAACTCCTTGACTGGCACTTCGAAGGGTTCCGTAGGTGGATATTAGCTTTCGTTGAGAGGAACCTGCTCCCTGTGAAATTGCTCGGAGCATACTAGCGAATTGATGACTATTGTTACCTGGCTCACCTACGTCCCTACTTTCCTGTGCGGTGGAAGACTAGGGGTTTCAGCACTGCATGACCGACTACGGGAAACAAAATATATCGAAGTTGTTTGTGTTAGGACAATGCCCTGAGAGCATCCTGATACGATAGAAATACGAGTGAAGAATGTGAGATATGCCTGATATGGGTAGGATAATATTCAGACTAATCGCTGGTCCTCCTACGAGGATCCAGCTCCTCCTTTTAAGAGGATGTCTGTGTGCGTATGCAAGCAGGCAAGCGAGGTGACGTATCAACAGGCGGCTCCGGTGTTGGATAGGCACCCCCTCCGCATTTATTATACTCATTGTATGGTTGGCGTAACAGTTTGTATGTCATTCTTTTTTTCTCTTTCTTGGATTTCAGACCTCTCTGCTAGCACCCATACGGTGTTTCTAGTATCAAAGTTAATCCTGCCATTCTGGATTTGTTACGATGTTTTCCTATTCCAAGCAAATCAGTTCTCACACTCAGTCTTGGGATCCAACCCCCCGAACAATCAAAAGTGATTGGGACAATACGAAGGTAAATTGAAAGCTTTGATCGCGATAAATATACTGGGGACATAATTCGAGTTATCTATCAATAGTCATGACGTTGGCGAGACCGCGTACTTGGTTTCGATAGAGGCAAAGCGCGGGACATCAAACCCAACATTTTTCGTGCCATCCTCGACCCAAGGGCAGCAACCCTGCGGCAGGCCAGCCGCGTACAGCATCAAAAGCAACGAAGACATTTCCTTACTACAGCCAGAGCCAGCCTACCCTTCACCAGGGGCCGTTCTTGCCATTTTCTTTGTTGATTTGAGATTACAGGATATTCAATTCCCTCTCATACTCGTTGGGATTAAACTGAAAGTTCCTTTCGTCTTTTAGCAATCTTGTGCTGAATTCGAGTTCTAGACCAGGCTGGCCCATTCAGAATTATCATACCATCGACTTGCCGTGATACCGATGTGTAACACGTGGCTGGAATCTCCAACATACTGTTCAGTTAATGGGATAGCATGGAAAGATAAATATAGCGTCACTTATTGGCTAAGACAACTGGATTTGCAATCATAGACTTATATTACGTCATATAGATACAATCACATGCCAGTATGTTTTGTGTCCTAGACTCAACAGAAAAGGGTGTCGGGACCACAAAGAATTTGTTGGGAGGGAGGTGGAAGGGGCAGAGATGCCGAGGCTACATCTGATGCAAAAATCTAACCTATACATATCAATGTCATAATACCTTAGTCCACGTCCACCTGCTTTTCTTCTCAACAGTACATATCTACTAATTATGCGAATGTTATTGTTAGATTCTTCAAAGTCATTATGATCGGAACATCCACTGTTGAGTATTTCTTCATTCGAATTTGCATCCTATTTCTTCACAATATTGTACCAGTCAGTGTTTTATACAGCATTCTGTTACTTACAAATAAATTTTTTTACATGCCTTTTTGTCTCGAACACACACCCTACACTATCCATGTCTGGCTCACTACAGAGGCAGTATTTTTTCGCCACTGTCTTCATACCACTCAAATACGCTCTCCACCGTTCTCCTGTCTGCAACAGATCTATACCCGCAGAATACAGAGAGAGATTATTTAGAGCTTGCAACGCAAATGTGCCAAATGTGGAGAAATATCTAAGTCGGTGGCTTATGGTCTCTGAAGCAGATTGCATCAAGCGCGATAACGTGAAAGACTTTATCAGATGGGCATTCTTCGGACCAGGATATACGCGGGAGCAGGACCAACAGAATGAGGAGGAAATCGAGACCTATACAACAGAAACTGAGAAGCTGATTGGCCGAAAACTGTCACCAGGAAGGATGAATGTGAAAGGCCTTGGACAGCTTCTAAATGAAGCAGGCGGTTTACACCGTAGCCTTCTATGGTATAATGTCAGTTATATCTCTTCTCTCTATGTCTATATGTGATGAAGCAGTATCAAGCTGACATTTAAGTTCGCATAGTGCGTCTTTGTGGTTGACACAATAATGTACTGCAAGATGTTATACAACGGATTCCACTTCCATCGCAGCACGCTCTCACGATTCTGTACCATCTTTCCATTTCGCCCTCTCACGATACTCACGGCCTACCGATCTCCGGCGCGGCACCTCACATACTGGCATCGACGACATACATCGAAGAAACGGCTACCCGTACTATTCATACATGGCATTGGAATTGGCCTGTACCCTTACACAAGTTTCCTCCGAGACCTCAACAGGGAGCTAGAGACAGGAGCTATCAACGATAGTGAAGTTGGCATCATCGCTCTTGAGATCATGCCGGTAAGCTCTCGGATAACTCATCCAGCTCTAGAAAAAGATGTGATGATATGTGAAATCATGGAGATCATGCGGTATCATGGGTGGAGCAGATTCGTGCTTGTGTCCCACTCTTATGGCTCCATTATCGCTGCACACCTTCTAAAGTCCGACCGGTTTACTCAGCTCATCGGACCTACAGTCTTCATTGATCCTATCTCATTCCTCCTCCATCTGCCTGACGTGGCATACAACTTCATAGCCCGCCGGCCAGCGCGGGCCAATGAATACCAGCTTTGGTATTTCGGAAGTAAAGATGTAGGAGTTGCGCATACGTTGGCAAGGAGATTTTCCTGGATTGACAACATAATCTGGAAGGAGGATCTCGGAGTAAGGGGCAAAAAGAACCAAGAGGAGGGTAGAAATGTTACAGTTGCTTTAAGTGGTAAGGATTTGATCGTGGATGCTGAAACAGTGGGGCAGTACCTGATGGGTTCATCGTCTGAAGCCCGGACATCAGAAAAAGAAGTAAAACGAGCATGGAAAACCAGGTCCTGGCTTGGGTATGGGCTTGAGCTGCTGTGGTATGAACATTTGGATCATGCTCAGGTTTTTGATTCCGAGAATACTAGGCGGCCTGTCATCAGGGCAATATCTGTATATTCAGACAGGGGCTGAAACTGTTCTTTTTGACATGACGTTGCCACCAGCAATTGCGACTCTAGGGAGAGACACGGTCTAGGTGTTATCCCTCACAAAGCTTCTGGTGCACTGCTTTGACATCTAACTATTACCAATACGTACCTACTTGATCCGAACGACAACCACACCGTAGGTGCTTGCGTAACCTTCTGTGGCTCGCTTCGCTTCTGGAGCACACAGCCTTGATGGCCCTGATTTGGCTGACAAAAAGAGCCTCGGCGGGTGGATGGTGGATAGTCACCAGTGGTCCGTGAGTAGTTGTGCCAGCAACTAAAGTCGGTTGCCGATGCTTAATAGAAAAGGAAGACGCGGGATTCAGAGCGTTTCAGAGTCTTAGCAACCATACGCTGTCAATATGTCTCGTTCTTTAGGAAGCCAAAGAATGAAAATAGTCAAACCCAATCGGTATAAGCCTATACTAGCTCCTGAAAAATGAGAAGACTTGTACCCGCTACGTCGCCTGGCTGTGAGAACTTGGAAGTGTTGTGTGCTAGTAAAATCTCTCCCTGCCCCACCACGCGAAAAGCATTCAACATCCCCCTCTCCCTACCACCCAGATTCTCTGAAGGGTCCGATGGCGGAAGGATACTTGGGAGATTGCCCGATACCGAAAATTTCACGCTCGCAAGATGGTGTTCGAAAAAGGGCACTCTCAAAGCTGGTCGCATCAACCCTCTGCCCAATCTTGCGGTGCCCTCACTGTAGTTCCTCTGCTATCAAGCAAGTCTCTTCCGCTCCCGACACTCTGATTAATCTACCCCTGAAAGACAACAAATTAGTTTTGCCCTACTATAATATTGCACCCATGATCCGTGCGCAGAGAGAGAAAGAACATGAAAATGGCGCGTCGACGGAGTCTCACTTAGTGCACTGGACCTTACAAGCGCCAGCTGCAGATGACACTTCACTTGAGGACGAGCCGTCCAGGCATGTGGACTACCTCTCTCATGAGTGGAGAGAGGATGATATCTGGCCATCCTGGCGCTATGTGGTCAGATAGAGGAACAAATATAGTAACAGAGTGAGACTAGAGAACGCATCTTAGAGAACATAGGCCAAAATAAAGGGCAACCTTAGGACTATATCACCAGAGATAGACTAGTTCGTCTTCTTATTCCCTGAACAGTTTTCCGATATATCGCCCAGCTCACTGATTATAATTATAGGGTTAAGGATTATGATACCACCTGGCTCTACGGATCGTTGAAAATCCCTGACAATCGGGCGACCGCTATTACCTCTGCCACTCTGGGTCGCCTACAGGCTCCAAACTTCTCTAAAGGCCAAAGGTCTATTCTAAAAAGAAAGTCAGCCTTGAAATTAATTTTTGAACGGTCAATGTCCCAGCAGGTTTTACTCCCAGAGGCTGAGGCTGACTTTGGTCAACCCCTCTCTCGAATGTGCAACGCAGGGTTAGGTCAACTTGATCATCGGATAGAAGAACTGACATACCCGGACGGAGGTAGTCTCACTACATTTTTATCCCGTGAAGTGGTAGCTTCAAAAGAAAGACGTCATGTTCACTTCAACGAAGAAGTTGTGCAATCCATTGCGATAGATGCGAAATATGTCAATGGGGACCTGTGGCCTGAGTTGGATAACGATGAGCCCTGCCTAAATAGCGCCGCGGTGGCAGAATGCATACTAAGCAAGAGACTCCTAGGTAGCTGCAACACCTCACACGAAGGCTTCAGTGGTAGAGGCAAGACCATCAATTTTCTTCCCTCGACCACTCTCCAACACTGCGGAGACGTCTCAGAGCCCCGTATTGAGCCTGACTTTAATGAACTGCCAACTATTTCGGTGTTCTCTAAGTTATGCTATTGGCTGTCATGTTCCAGTGAGAGGAGCTAAGGAAGATCAGTGAAACATCTCATATCGCTCCAAGAATGACCTGGATCTCGTTTGCTGCACTCTTTGATATCTTAACTGAGCAGCCGGCTGATGCCTCTATGTATATGCGGTCTCAAGTGATTCAATGATAGACAGTAATTCTCGGAAATGATCTGTTGGCAAAACCGACTCGTGGAAAGCGGACCCGCGTGCGATCTACGACATGGTCCATCTCGTTCACCAGCTCGGATTCAAGTCTGCCGACATCGACGCGCTACTGGACATTTCTCTGGATCACCAAATCGCGCGATCGGCTATTCCTACAGGCCCGAAAGCCGGGTCGATATCGATATGATGAACAGCAGCTCGATCTTCTGGTATCGCGACTAATCGTAACATTACTAGTCGATTTCACCGTCCCATTGCTTGGCATTGCTTATTACCATGTGTCGAGCGGAAAGAGTGGTCAAATACCACTAAGACCCTTTTGGGATGGGATGTTCATCGTCCGCCCAATTCCCCATGTATTCGTGTGGTATTCGGCGTAGACTCGGAGTATGGTGTCGTAACACACCGAAACTAGATGATACAGACTCTCACGAGTGCCTAACCACTCTCATCTTTAATCAATCAATGATCTGATTCTATTGGACATCTTCAGTACTAGCCAGTACATCAATTCCTCATCCTGACAATTTGTTCTATTGAGTCAAATTGCTCATCCGAGCAGTCTTCTCCACGTGGCAGACGAGTCATTCACGGCACCGATTGGCCCATTGTTTCTTGGCATATATAATTAGTATCTATATTATCCAACGATAGCTTTGATATCGACGATCACAGGCTCCCGGGAGTCTGGGTGAGCCTCAATATTAGCCATTTTTTCACCTAGGCCTTGTGCGTCTGTAGGCATTCATGGCTGTGATTAGCTCGCATCTCTTTGCAGTGGTACCCAGTTTCACATATCCACTTAGTTCCCGGGAATTCTATGTGGGTATTTCTGACGGGCCATCTAATTATGGTAGGTGTAATGGTAGGCTCAGGCTCAGGCTCCTGGGAGCTCATCGCCAAATTTGGACCAATCATTCCTACTGAGGCTTTGTGGCACTTGTGGAGCATTTATGGCACCGATTGGCTCATTATTCCTCCGCTCTATTAGTGGTATCCAATGATCGCATCAATATTTACGACCCACAGACTCCTGGGAGCCAAGGCAGATTATCAACCAATAATTTCATTGCAAACTTGCGCGCATGTGGGCCATTGGTGGCACTAATTGGCTTATATTTCCGAGTAGTAGTACCCACCCGCATCCGCTTCGTTCCCAGGAGATTGATGTAGGTAATGCCTTTGCAAAGACGCGGCTGATTGCAGAGGTTTGTTCTACAAAAACGTAATCGAACTAATGACTGGCTCACCGTACAAGAACCTCTGTTGAGGCGGGCTGTGCGAATCAGCCCCGCGCCGTACCATAGCTTGTATCTACTTGATATTGTGTAGGTGTGATGGATTTTCTCCGATATGCGAGGTAGGCAATGAAGAACCCTGCGGTCTGCCTGCCTTTGGTTAGTTAGCGTTGCGTGGATTAACGGGCTCATCGCCGGTGAGTGAAATGATATGACATGACCTCGTCACCTCGCCCGTCGCAATAAAGGGCGGACTGACGGTGGTGAATGTTGATAACTGTCATCGGTTTTTATCTGCGGTATCCTCATAACTGTTTAAACAATGCCAACAGCCAGAAACATTTTCTACTTTCTGTCTGGATCACCAGGCGAAAAATTCAATTTCTCTCAGAATTGCATTAAACCAATGATGAAATGTTGAGCCAGTTATCATTGAAGAGAATTTTGTGTTTGAGCCCTCACAATTCACAATCATGATCTCATTGACGCAGACTGAATGCCTCGCTGGATTGCTATAAATACCCGGTCCCTCGCCAGCAGAATAGTCGTTCGCAAGCATTCTTTTGTCACTCCGGTTAAAAGAATATCGATCAATTCTCGTTTCCGTGGCTACTATTTGGTATGTTGACTTTACAATTGTGCAACGAAATTGACTGACTTGTTGCGTCCCACCAGCCTGGCTTTTCTCGACACAAGAGGCCTTCGAACAACAGCAAGTGAGTGTAGCTGCACAGTCATTTTGAATCATGCTAACATGAGAAAAACGCTCGATATCAGCCCCGCCGCCACTATTCCTCTGAGAAGCCATTGAACGAACCTTCAGGATCAGGATCTGGAATGGTTTAAGCTGCGAGCACAGTGAGTTACAAGTTGCCTTAATGAACTGTCTACTGATGATTTATGATAAATAGATGTCATCCTTTAACAGTCCCCTGCCGCGGACAGCAATATCTGAGAACGTAAATTTAAAGACTGCAGCAATTTTCAAGGCAGATATCATGTGCTGACGACCCTCTCTGTAGGATGGAAAACTTCCTATCGCGAGTCGCTCAATATCTTGTAAGTCCCGCTGGTGCTTTGCCCCTGTCCATTTCCAACACCCGATACTGCATTTCAATCTCCTTAAAAATGCTATCTGTTCGTGGCTTTCTGTTTCTCAGGAAATATCGCTGATGATTCTTTTTCTTCAAAGGGCGCGTGTCAATATCGACCTGACAGAGCTATGTTCCCCCCTCGTCTTCGAGACTAAACCAGCTTCAACAACCCGATAGGCCAAGCCGCTGAATATTACTACGCTTGCGCCTTTGTTGTTTCTGAAAACGTGGTTGAAATGGCCACTTCACCTGGCTTATTAGCGGGCCAAGGCAGAAAGCCTTGATGCCCTCTGCTTAGCCATACGGTAAAATTCCGAAGTGTATTCATTCGTCACTCCGGCATTACCCTGTCCAGGCAAAGGCTGACAGTCAATGTATTAGTAACTCGCAATATTCTGATGGCTATGAACCTCCTGCTCCACATCCGATCCGAAGCCTTGCCATAATCCGGCCTCATTTTGACCGAGCGAGCCATCGGAGCATCCGCGACAATGAAGAGAAGCCGAGAATCGACGGCCACAGAAAAGGGCAACTATTTCCCCGAGGAGCATCAATCAGCAGATTGAAACGAGCTACTGGCAATAGTCTAAAAGCTAGATGTTTCAACCCCTGATTTCAGCTGCGCAAGCGATAAGACAGGCAGTGGCTTAGATCTACCCTAGATCCCTCGCGGCGAGAGCAGTCATTTTCAGGTCGGGGCAAAGTTTGTCGTAAGCAAAGTACCATGAATCTCTCGTCCAGTGGTAATTTTCCCTGACACGGTTGAAGATTTGCGCAGGGTCGTGCATTCGCAGGTATGGCGACATCAATTCCCCGTGGTACAGAGTGATCCCGGGCCCTCGTGCACTTGGGATCGAGCTGACGCATGCTAGCTCGTCTCTGGCTTGCCTATGCTGGTGCCAGACTATATGGACGGCAAGTTTCTACCACTCCTCAGCCACCAGAAATCAGGCTGACCTCGGATGGCAGTGAAATACAACCCTGGTTCGGTCCTTCCCACGAGTCCGGCCAGGGTGCTGTTCGCGGCTGGTAACAGTGGAGATCTCATCTGGGGAATGAGCACGGTGAGTGCGAACGACCACCTTGCGCCAGCTGCTGATAATCGGTGCTAGATCGAATGCTCCCTCCTCGATATCACCACCAAACACCATGAACTCATCAGCAGAAGCAGCCTCGTAAAGTAGTGCCAGTCGATCGCTGCAACGGTTACGACTGCTCAATCATTACTCGAAATATGCCAGGTCGGTGTGATAACTCGTGGATAAGACGTAATTGTTAACTTCGAAAACAGCAGTCATATTTCTGTCAGTGGGAATGTCACGTGTGCCCGACGCGTCAGGCACGGCCTCGTCGCCTCTAGTCTACCGCCGAGTGCTGCCTTAGGTTGGTATTTTCAAATGACTACAGAAAACGTTCCATAATCACGAGGCCCAGGAGATAAGAACGTATGCAAGACAAGCCGGAAAAAAGGCGGGTTGTGAATACAACGATGAAATGCATAGACGGGAACCGTCTTTCTGATGAATGGTCATTCAAATGCACCCTACGTGAAACGAACCCGGTTCGTTATTAAGAAGCAAGCGTGGCGTTTTCGACCAGACCACGCGAGCAGACGCGCTGGTGGCGCGAAAATTGCCTCACTATATCCACTATCTTATTGGAATATCATAGCCACCGTTAGTCTCGACCATTATCCAGCTATATTACCCCTTTGAGCTCCACAAGTCTCTCATTTGGCCATGCCAATGGAAAATGATATTCGAAAAGAGGGCCAGAAGAATGGGCTTTAATCGCTGACATTCTGATGGTTTTTTCCAATTCTACTGCCACAATGTACGTGCGCGTCCGGGGATATATATTACGCACATAATGGATGATCATTTATCGACATTACCCAAGAGCTGTGTTTCACTAAAGAATACACGACGAAGCTCGAGCCGCGTAGAAGAGCGACCGGAGTGAAAATAACGATACAATCTATCGTCAATAGATGTACATGGTGTACCCTTTGACATATTTTTGAATTGAAAACCAAAGTTGGTTGCACTATCACGCAACTCCAAGCCCATAGTCGAGTTTTTCTTAAAAGACTATCCGCAGATAACTACATTGCGATCTGCTGTAATGACAGATTCTAGTTAATTAGCTGCATCATTTTTCACCGTCTATCATCTATTACATCATTGGTGAGCCAACGAAGATCCAACTGTAACGGCGATGGGTAGTCACCGTTGGCAGCCACTTCACCGCTCGGCAGTTACGCCGCGCCGCAAATCAACATGTTGACTCACTGGTCCATCGATCATGATCATCACCAACCCCCATCTGTCCCTCATCGCCGGCCCTCACCATCAACGTGTCCTCAACATCAACACGCCTTCATCAGCACGCCAACACTACCTACTCACTGTCGAAAGCCCGCAATTCACCACGTCGAGACAAATTCTACCCCCTTAGTAGCCAGCAAAGACACGCATTCACACAAATGGAGGCTACTTTGGATTGCACGCGTCGCCCAGATCGGCCACCAAGCTATCATACACTGAGATCCCCACTGGCCCGATGATTCAGTGCTCTACTTCGCAGTATGTTGAAGAAAATGCCCATTGTCGAAAGACAGGGCGTGATTCAAGGCTACAAAAAACTTTACGTGAATAAGGAACATGGATATTGAAGTCTACAAACAGCTGAATGGCATGGCACAAAGTATACTGGATGATTCTAGAGTCTTTTGATTCTTTGGAGCAGGTCTTGGCTTCTTCGAGGACTCCCCCGAATACTAGTCTCTGACACCACGAAGAGGTGCCTGCAATCGTCAGAGGATCAGGACGAGGACCGCGGCGCCACGGGTCGCCTAATGAGCGCAAATTTGATAACGCAGGGCTCAAGGCTGCATGGAAGCTCAAGATTATACAATCACAGGGCTCAGGGCTGTGAGGGAGAACTTGGTGTCGCAGCGGTCTCCTGCGGAGGTTCTTGGTAACGCAGGCGTCCCTGCGGAGCACATGTTTACAACGCAGGGCTCATGGGCTGTGAGGGAGAACTTGGTGACGCAGAGCTTATCCTGCGAAGAACACTTGATATCGCAGAGCTTATCCTGCGAAGCACACTTGGTGACGCAGAGCTTATCCTGCGAAGAACACTTGATATCGCAGATCTTATCCTGCGAAGAAAACCCGACTGCCCGGGAGTGTGAGGAGGAAAGTCCTGCTTTTCTTTTCGACGGGAAAAGAGCGTCTTTTATGTCATTTCGGATACGTCCTTCGGCAGCGACCACTTGCGTACATTTTGCCGGACCCAGAGATTTCCACTCGAAATTCGTACCGAGCGGCCGCATTTTCGCAGGGTGTTGAGGCGGTTTATCAACGTTGAAATAAGAAATTTCAAGAGTTCGGGGTGGAGAGCGGGTGGAGTGGCTGGATCCACCTGGACCCTTGGCTCTCCTGGGTCTAGGCCTGACAAATAAAATGCCTCAACGCTGTTGACAATGGTGAAACAACTTCAACTTGGCCGGTAAGTTCGAAAGAATGGGCTGGCTCTGGCAAATCGACTGCCCATACCCCCGAACTTGTGTTTGTAGACTTTGCCATCGATGCGTGCTCCCAATTTGGACGTGCAACTACCCTTCCTCACTACATTTATCTGATATAGGCACTGAATGAACGGATTCTCAATTAAATCATCAGCTCAATTGACCCCTGCCAGAATGGTCCGAGCTTAACCAGCCCGATGTGCACGCAGATGAATCTTTTTCTAGCAGGGCACGTTGCAAAGTGACAGCTTCGTTGCACCGATCGCTGTGCGCTGACTTGCAACTCCAACCGCGAAGCCAACTTTCTGTGAGCCGCGGATTGGGAAGTTCAATTCGTGCAGATAGCTTGTTAGTCAACGTTTGTCCCGTTGAAAATCCGTTGGAGTGTTGCCAAACGCTTATTGCGCCCCGCTTTTTTGAATTTTCACAATGTGAGACTAGATATGGCTGGCGTAGGCCCAGGGAGACGGCGTCTTCCACAGCGGACATCTGCTCGCCGGATCTATTCTCACACATAAAGAGTCTCACACCTGTCACGAATCATATAAGAACCACTCCCGTCATAATTTTCAAACAGATCTATTTGTCGGCAGCACCCCGCTTGATTCGATACACGACTATGGGAGCCATTCGAAAAATTCCACACACACGGCAGATGCCAGACTTCCGACGTCGATTGCAGCGCGCACTGTCCTTGTCATCCTCGGAGTCCGAATACAGCCGAAGCCCATCCCGATCTCTGTCTGGAGACACTACCGAGGAAGAGCCATCGACCCCCTCGAACAAGAATGACCAAGCTGTGCCGCAACAGGGCGATCCTCCCAGCAACCACGATCACGGGGTGCTACCGAATTCTCAATTCGGCGGACACTTGTCTCAGCCCAGAGATAGCAGCGTGCTTACCCTCACATGCCTCGCAGAGTTAGTCCGAGTCATCCCCCATCGTGAAAGCAAGGTGTTTACTAACAGATGATACTTCAAGACTAGACGTGCGGGTGAAGTGAGTTTTACATTCCCTCCAAGCAATGAACAAAGGGCTAACCTAAGACCAGATCCCTAGATTGTAAATTGACGGACCAAAATAAGTGCATCGAAGATTTCCGCCGGGATCTAGCAGATCTTCTCCGCCGGCTGGAGGGTGTCGAAGCGAAAGCAGAGGAGCGGACCAAAAGTGACCTGACTCATACGCCAGATGGGCCGGAGCAGAAGACGGTGCGGACCCTGCGGTCGCAGCGGTGATGAAATATGATGGGGTCTGGAACTTCGAGGAAGTTCGGTTTGAAGTACATCGAGCATTCGTCAAGTGGGTTCTCTTGCGCTTTGTGCACACTTGCATTTCTTATGATTACCAATAGTAGAATGTTTGGACCAGGCCTCTTCTTGTGCTTTCTAGAGGTGGTATACAATAAAACTTGTCCCTGCGAATACAGCAAATGCATTGCAAATGAAATTTTCATGAATCTACCTACCCACCGAGACAGTCGGTATTACGGATTGCACGGAGGTACAGTTTTGCTCAGTGGCCGAGTCTATATACCAATTCGTCCCTTCGGTAAGTGTTGTAGTTCAGAAGTATGAATTATATTTAGTTCAGAGGGAAACATCAGGCTATATATATACAACGAGAAGAACGAGTTGATTTCCAATCAACTTGGTTCTTCGTATAGATATCTCGGGGTTAATTCCGAGGGTCCGGCTTGGTTCCTGATCTGCACCAGCCTCATATCACAGCAGTAAGTCTTTCCGGTACGGCGGCAATGCCACGCGAATGACGCAATTATTGTTTGATTTTACATGAACGATGATGGAATTTGAAGAGATACTTTGACACAAATAGCATGGCCCAGGCGAAAAGTATGGCACCTCGCTCTGAAACAGATCCTACTGATAAGTAATTGGTTTATGAGTAGAAGTGACGCGGACTTGAGAAACGCCTAAAACTTGAACCGAGATAGCGGCTTTCACCCTGCTGGACCCCTCAAGCTTCATTGCTAGCTTTGCCTGAACTACCCAAGACCAGTCTTTTATCTGTTGTAGCATGTAATCGACGGGATCACAAGACGTATTGATAGAGGTGTCGAGCTCTATTTCGCGGTTCTTTGGATCTATCAACGCGTAAATCCAAATGAACCCCATCGAATACTCAAAGCAGGCTGGATCTGCATTCCACGACGACACAAGCGTATTGAAAAGGGGTCCCATAGTGGTTGATGGAAGGCCAGCGCAAAGGTACCTCGAATCGTGACTACTTGCCGCCCGTTTTCCCATACTGATCATCTCAATCTCATCGGTTGATCGTGGATCGAGAATAACCGAATCTGAGATCATATTCGTGTGGCGTTCGTGGATAATTTACGGATTGTCTGGGTGGTCTGTTGTGGTATCTCGGAAATTGCGCTTATTTCCAGATTTTTCACCAAAGCCTATCATGTCAGGTAGAAAGCAGGCCATACTGGTTGCTTTTGGAGTTCAGCGAGATTGATTGAGTTGTTTTCATTTCAGAGGAGATACATGAAGCTATACAGTCAGCTCTCGAAGGCTGCACACCCTCTGAAGCTTGAATAGAAGAGATTTGATGGCTCAATAGCTCACCAGAATTTATTATTTAGGCTTACAGTACTCCAACGGCTCATACAACGGCTCCTTCAATTAATTTTCTCCGCTGATGGTACTGCGATGAATCTGGCGCCAAGCCCTACTAAAAGTTGAACCCGATCTGAGGAATATTACGATCATCATATTTCAGTTACTGTACGTATCTGAAGAAATGGACATGTTTATCCTGGCTAGCTAGCTTTCTTCCTGTAGTGTGGGTGACGGTAGAAAGGAAGCTAGTCCTGGCGTGGCGCTAGTCGTCACATTGTATAATGCGGTATGTACAGCGTGCAACGACAAGTCGGAGACCATTTCCACTTCCCTGATTGCACACGTGACTGGAAATTACATAACTCTTGGACATTGGTTGGCTCTGGCCGCCCATCAATAGGTTGCGGCCCCTCATGTCGCACGATCCGTAACAGATAGAAGACTAACCAGACAAGCCCGAACACGCTACTCTGCAAGTGTTGTATTGGATAATATCTGAGCCATATCAGTTCTCAGTCGTTTTCTGTTGGGAGAGCAAAAAGTTCCGTACCTCATCGTTGTCAAAGACTTCGTCTGGGAGTCGACTTTGAACAAACTGCACCATATAGAGAAGAGAGTTTCGAGGGAGGAGTCGCTAAGAAGTCGTTGCTGAGTCCTCAATTTACTTGGCCGCGGTGGCCGCCTCCTAGTCCAGGCACTTGACCGACGACTGCAAGCAACGATAGCAAGAGACATCTCTATTTGGGGAAAAAGTTTCCAGTCATTTGGGGGGGCGTTTGCCAAGACTTTTGCGGTGGATCTTTGGCGCGGTAACGAAATAGTTAGCTAATAAAACTCGCAAGCGAACACAGCCACCCTATCATCTCGATAGAAAAGACCCGGATCGCGTGGGATCAGGGTGAAACACTCCTAAGACTCACAAGTTCCACAATTAGCGTGTATGCAGCTCGCATGTACGCGTTCGTTTAAGAGAAAACGGCAACGATGTACAGATTTTAGGCGCCTTCCGATGGCTCGAAGCTTTTAGCCAGAACCACAAGCTAAAATCACCGTGCATACGTACTAACCGAGGGAAATGCGCCACTTGTCGCCCAGAATTGGCAATACTCCAAGGACGTGTCAGGAGAAACTATCTCCATGATTGATGATCTTTTTCTCATTTGAAACAAAGAGGCGGTACATATTGGACTCTAAATTTTATCGAATTAGTGGAGTGTGGACACCACAGATGCCACAAAAGGAAAGCGTCGCGGTTTGATTTAGCGATAACCAATGGAAGTAGGATGATATTACATGACTTTATTAGTCATCAGCTCGCATGCTAAATTCACTACTATTGGATGGAACGTAATCCCGTACTGCATAAGAATTTGTCTCCAGAATTTTCTGAGCTAAGCTGAGTCATGCCATATTCCTGGCGCAATCGACACCATTTGTTTCAAGTCCGGAGATTCTTGCAATTTACATCTTGCCGTCGCAGCCAGTTCCATTCCCGCTCCTTCTTTCAACAATAACAGGTTTGGCTACTCCTCTCCGAAAACTCATCAACTAGTTCACAATCACATCGTAAAATCATGCGCAAGCCAGATAGTAGCTTCATCGACCAGTTTAGGGAGAAGTTTGGTGACCTACTTTTGAGCTGCGATGGTAAAAGTGGGAAGGGGAGCGCTCCTATTCACGCAGGAGATCCAATGCTACCTGTTAGGTATGCTAAAGGTACTGAGCTTTTTGGCCCTATGCAGGTAGACGACGCGGCATCTGGACAAATATTGGGGCAATCGGGCTATTCCTCCATTTCTTGCAGATTAAATACCCCTGAGTCCTTGTCTCCCGTGTTCATCTCCAAGAAGCAAAAGACGTCTTACAATCGATGTCTACCAGGATCTGGCGCGGTCTTCCACAATAAAGCGGGCGACCTCCACTCCCTCATGATAGAGTGGAACTAGACTGCGGCACGGTTTTGGGTTTGGTCTTCAAATGCTAACCAAACCCAAATCGATTTGGTCTGCGGTTTTCATATCTTTACCAAACCCAAATCGATTCGGTTTGCGGTTCTTAGATCTTTACCAAAACCTAACCGCAAATTTTACGGTTAACCAAAACCGCAATGCGGTTACCTTGCGGTTAACCGCACTAGCATAAAAGATGAAGATCTTACCTATCTAAGCCACCCCACCGTTTTTATACACCTGATAACTAAGCTCAAATAATGCATTCTTACATATGGTTTCGTTATTACTACTGTAATCATTTATTTTTCTTACTTTTTGTTCGAAATAATTTGAAATAGAGCGGTATTCTAAAAGATAAAATATTAGTCTACAAAAGATTCAAGTTCAAAGTTGGATTTTGGATATTGTTGGCGAGATTTACTGTGTGTTGTGATTAGTTTTTGTAATCGAGTATAGGTATCGCAGAAATATATATTTGACTTAGAGAGATTATGCTGCATCTTCAGGTCAGTAGAACATGAAAAGCCTAACTTGACTAATTTTTAAGTATTCTGAATTTTGAACATATGTTATAAAAGAGCTAGTTTTTTACATATCTCTAATAATTTTTAATCTAGTATTACAATATAAAAGTGTTAAAAAAATATGTCCTAAAAGTGCAAAGTTGCAGTGATAAATGGTTATATTGCGGTCGTGCTGCGGTTACCTTGTGGTTTTCCTGTGGTTTTTGCGGTTTTCAGGGGTATTTTACGGTTATCTTGCGGTTATCTTGCGGTTATCTTGCGGTTTTTGCGGTTTTCGGTAATCTTAGTGCGGTTATTGTGAGGGGTCTTTGCGGTTAACCGCAGGATAACCGTATTAGTAGCTCTAATATCCAATTAGAGTATATCTTTGACTCCACTCTATAATTGCTTTTGCAACACATCAATGTCCTCGGTCGCGTCTGGTGTTTGTGGTCCTCTCGTCGAATCTTGTAAGTTGTTTGTCTCTCATTTACACATATTGGCTCTCAAGACCATAGCCAAAGATGGCCTATACTTCATCAGTCTTCACCGATCAGCATTCTGATACTGACTTTCTCCTACCAGATGACCTGCCATCACTCAGTACATATTGTCGTACTGCCACCGAGTCAATTACACCATCCATTTGCTCTCAACAACTGCAATTACCGCGAGCGCCCTTATTCCTTACACGTACTGGGCCACATCTTCAGCGATTTTGGATCCTTGTAGAAATGGACCCCGCAACAGGCCAAACTCGGAAGGATTTCACTGAGTGATGGCTTCAAACAGAGTATGGCACAAGAAAAGACATCGAGACCACCATTCATTGGGACCACAAAAAGAGAGCTTCAGTCTGGGATCACTTTGAGCAAGTAGCTCATAAACGGACAGGAGAGCCTAAAGTTATGTGTAAGCGTTGCCTTACTACACTTACTCATCCAAATATTCAGCGTGGAGGAACATCACCAATAAACACACATCTGAAAGGGAATACCTGTCATCCAAAGCATGGGATTAGCAAGTTACTTGCGAAGCAGGTAAGTATATATACTATCTTTAAGATACTGCTTTTAGCTAATAACTTATAATTTGTAGTCACAAACTTCAAGAGCAACTTTAACTACTTTCTCTGAAGAAGCGCTTGCCCAGAAAGTCCTATCTCTTATCCTCGTCGCACGGCTCCCATTCCGTATCCTTGATCGTCCAGAATTCCAGGAATTAGCTGATCTAATTGCTGTTGCTCCCTCACGGGTCAAACTACCCTCGCCCCGGACGATTAGCCGACAACTACACTCGAATATCCAACAAGGACAACAGAGTATAATAGATATGCTCCCAGAGGATAGTAGACTATCTCTATCACTTGATTGCTGGACATCACCTTTCCAGCAGGGCTTTATGGCTATTACTGGTTATTTTCTGGATAACGATTGGGAGTATCGAGAGGCTCTACTTGGCTTTGAACCCTTACAAGGCTCACATACTGGGAGTAACCTAAGCTCAGTAGTTATTGGTATTCTCGAAAAGTATAAAATTGCCGATCGGGTTCTGTCAGTAACAACTGATAATGCTACCAATAACAATACAATGATGCTCAGTATTCAGGATGAGCTTAAAAGTCAGGGCATTGGAAGTGACAGGCTTGGTAATGGTATATTCCGTGTTCCATGCCTGGCCCATGTGATCCAACTGAGTCTGAATCAACTTCTCGGAAAAATAAAAGCAATGCCATCCAATAATGAGGCAGAGGATGGATGGCCAGATGACCGTGAGCGCCAGGCGCGTTCCCAGCAATCAAAGAGAGAGATTATCCAGACTTTGAACAAGGTATGTGATGATTCAGCAGAAAGAGAGAGAGAATAACAGCTAATAATAGTTATCTGTAGATCCGAAATCTTGCTATCTTTATTAATACAAGTCCTCAGCGCCGAGCTGTATTTCTTGTAATCCAGTCCCAGGAGCCTCGACTGCTTCCTCTTCAAGATGTACGGACTCGATGGAATTCTACATTTCTGATGCTCGGCCGAGCAAAACGACTACAGAAGAGCTTTCAAGAATACTGTACAGCAAACGGCTATCTCCATTTTCAGCTTAACAAAGAAGAATGGCGTCAGATCGACTACTTACTGTGTATCACTGAGCCATTCTTTAAGTTTACAACTGCTCTCTCGAAAACAAAAGACACCACAATCCATCTTATCTTTGGCGTTTACAATAAGCTTTTCAATCACCTGGAGAACTCCGAGAACCAGCTTCGCCGAAAGAGACTCCCATAGAAGAAATCAATGCTGAGGGCATTACAGGCGGCAAGGGAAAAGCTTTCTGAGTATTATCAAGCAACTGATAAGGAGTTTTATGGGGATCTTTATGGTATTGCTACCATTCTTGCCCCATCAAAGAAACTTCGATTCTTTACCTCAAGAGATTGGCAAGGGGATATTGATTTTGGTGCAAGATATCGTGGGTGTCTTGAAAAAGAGTTCTGGCGATACAAACGGCGATTTTCGGATCAAGCTGAAGAATCATCCTCTGATGTCCGGCAGAACTCCAGTGATATTAATGAGATTGAGATGCTATGTGACTCACAGACTTCATTTTATGCAGCAGAAGTACCAGCAGAGGAGGAGGATGATGAACTGGCTCGATATCTTGCAAAAGGTAAGTCTAATTACGTATCTGTCTATCTCAGATACTAATTTTATCTAGGCCTTATTTCACAACAGCCCCGTTTATTCTGGAGGGAGCATCAAAAAGAGTTCCCAGTGCTGGCTGCACTAGCCCAGGATATTCTTTCAATTCCTGCGAGTGGCGCAGGTGTTGAGCGTCTTTTTAACTGTGCTCGAGATATTTGTCACTACAGACGGGGCTGCCTTAACGCTGATACTATCAAGGAGTTGATGCTGCAATCGTGTGCTGTAAAATTTGAGGTTGAACAGAGAGAGATTGACTTTACAAAAGAGCTTGTACTAGCGGGTGAGGCAGCGATGATTGAACAAGACAGAGGATCAATAGCCCCTCTTCCAGCATTGGATCCAATTAGCGATAATGAAGAGGAGGAAGGAGAGAAGGAGGAGGAGGAGGAGGAGGAAGATAGACAGGAGCCATCAGGAGAGACACAAAAACGAGCGCGTTCCGGAAGTACTAGCTCGCAGGAGGATCAAATGGAACACGAAGGCACACAGCGAGCGACGCGGATTCGCAAGAAGCCTAAAATGCCAGAGGGGTTCCAACTGGCGCCTTTGTAGCTTAAATACTGTCAGATTATATTTCTTGATTTGGTCTTCTATCCAGTTTCTTTGTTCTGTAGTCTCTGTATTCCGTATATCCTGGAGATGATTTTTCGCCTGACAATTAGTCAGAGCTCTCATACATGACCGAAACAACAAAATTACCAAAAAAACTGCATAAAAATCTATCTGCCCAGCAGGTCACGAGGCTTAGCATGTTTGTATTGTTTACAAGACCGCGGTTAACCGCAAAACTGCAGCGGTTTTCATTTGAAGACCAAGACCGAACCGCAAAATTTTGCGGTCTTGGGATGAAGACCAAAACCGAACCGCAAAATTTTGCGGTTTTGATATGAAGACCAAAACCGCTGCGGTTTTGGTTAGGTTTTAGGTTAACCGCGGTCTTTGCGGTTAGTGCCGCAGTCTAGCCTTCAGCAATCATCAAGAAGAAGCAAGCAGCCGCTAACCAGGTATCGACAGATACTCCTCTGCATCAAGACAAACATAACTCTACTTCATCTACAGCCGCCAAAATGGGGTATATCTTGGCCATCCTAACAAGGCCTCCAGCTCATTCCGTACTATCGCGGGGCCTCAAGAGTCATCATCCATACTGACTAGCTTCCAGTAAGGAAGACAAAACTGACATCAACGAGGTCGTTATCGTACATTATCACTTACCCCCTCACTGGCTTTATAAAGTTGTTCACTAACGCGCATCTCAGGGGCACGTCTCACACCGTTGTCGCCGCCATCGATCCGCATCATGCTGACATTCAATAATAGCGACGTCGACTACAGCAAGTCGACCACCGTGAGTTACCACCCGCCATACATTGCGGCTCTAGTTGTATTGCCCTACCTGCTTCACAGTGACCGCGGGGCTGTGGAATAATAAAGCTGACGCGAGAAGGACACTGAGGCCAGCGAGTCTACTGGTGAGACCCCTGAGGCCATCAAGTCCATCGAGCCACCCAAGCCACAGGTTAAAAAAGCAGTAAGTAAATGCGTTATTTAGACGTTCTCATTAGCCCCTGGTCAGTGGGGTCAGCAAATTGCCCTAACAATTATTTTTTAACAACATAACTTCTTTGACGCCGATTCACTCCAGTAGTTGGCTTCTCGTGATGAGTAAACCGCTAATTACTAGAGTCATGCTAATGCAATTGGTAATTTTAGAGTGTAAGTAACCTCCCCAATTGATATAGGTTGTGATTGCTAGCGTTATGCTAATATAATTGGTAACTTTAGCTTGTAAGTGGTGTCCCCGATTGATGAAGGATGCGACTGCTGCGGTATACTGATGGGATTGGTAATTTTAGGATGTAAGTGGTCTCCCCGATTGAGGGAGGTTGTAATTGCTGCGGTATACTGATGGGACTGGTGACTTTAGCAAGTAAGTGATATCCCCGATTGATGAAGGGTGTGACTGCTGCGGTATACTAGCGGGACCGGTAACTTTAGCAAGTAAGTGGTATCCCCGATTCATCAAGGGTGTGATTGCTGGCGGTATGCTGATATAGTGGCGGCTCTAGGCTGTAAGTAGTAGCTTCTGACGAAGATTGTGATTGCTGTTGGTAAGCTAATATAGCTGGCGACTGCAGAAGGTATGTGGTTTCCCTGACTGACGAAGGAAATGATTGCTGGCGGCATGCTGATATAGCTGGCGGCTCTAGAATGTAAGTGGCTTCCCGCGACTGATAATGAGTGTGATTGCTGGCTGCATGCTAATATAGCTGGCGACTTTAGATTGTAAGTGGCTTCCCATGACTGACAAAGAGTGTGGTTGCTGGCGGCATGCTGATGTATCTGGCAACTGCAGCATGTATGTGGCTTTCCTGACTGAAGCAGAGTGTGGTTGCTGGCGGCATGCTGATATAGCTGGCGGCTCTAGGATGTAAGTGGCTTCCCGCGACCGATAATGAGTGTGATTGCTGGCTGCATGCTAATATAGCTGGCGACTTTAGATTGTAAGTGGCTTCCCCCGACTGACAAAGAGTGTGGTTGCTGGCGGCATGCTGATATAGCTGGCGGCTCTAGGGTGTAAGTAGTAGCTTCTGACGAAGATTGTGATTGCTTTTGGTAAGCTAATATAGCTGGCGACTGCAGAAAGTATGTGGTTTCCCTGACTGACGAAGGAAATGATTGCTCGCGGTATGTTAATGTCGCTGGCGCCTCTAGATGGTAAGTGGCTTCCCCCAAACCGACGAGGGTGATTGCTGGCTGCATGCTAATATAGCTGGCGCCTCTAGATGGTAAGCGGGTTCCCCTAACTAAGGATGAGTGTGATTTCTGGAGGCATGCTGATATTGCTGGTGGCTCTAGATGGCAAGTGACTTCCCCCAACTGATGAATAGTGTGATTGCTGGCGGCATGCTAATATAGCTGGCTGCTCTAGCCTGTAAGTGGCCTCCCCCGACCGATAATGAGTGTGATTGCTGGCGACATGCTAATATAGCTGGCGAATTTAGATAGTATGTGGATTCCCCTTACTAACAAAGTGTATAAATGCTGGCAGTATACTGATATAACTGGCGGCTTTAGATTGTAAGTGACTTCCCCCGACTAATGAAGAGCGTGATTGCTGGCGGCATGCTCATATAACTGGCGGCTCTAGGATGTAAGTGGCGTCTCCTGACTGACGAAGAGTGTGATTACCAGCTGATATGCCGATGTGAGCAATAGTCATGACTAGGAATAACCTCACTGGACTAGGCTTTCGGTCGTTGTATGGAGTTCTCCACTGGAGTTTAAGCTCGGCCGACCGTTAGCGGGATATTGTCTTTGCGTGTTTTATCTTAATTGTAGTATTATGGATGGACTATAATACAGCTCTCTTGCAGCATGATATCAGGCTCATATTTGCCTCGTTGCCTTGGCGATCATTATGAGAAGTGCATATTAAATTATCAACGCTTCAGGATTATGAGGGTACTAAAGCACACATCCGAAGATTCTGGATGGAGCAAAGACAGAAAACTTGTGTGGGCAGGCCGCTATTCCCTGCAGTGCATTGGGTCCTATATATATATGGGCCAGTTGAGTTGTGCGTACGGGTGTTGTCCTTACCCCTCTACAAATCCCCACACAAGCTCCGATAAAGCAGCCAGAGGTGCTTCGTAAGGCAACCCAATATAAACAGCTCAAATCGCATAAGAGGTGGCAGCTCAAGATGTAATATATCGGCTTTGCACTACTTTGATTATCTACTTCCCAATATCGTGTTTCTTTCCTCGACAATGTATGGCCAAGCCAGCGCCCCACCAACATATTCACTCTGTGACCATTTGAAGGTTGAGCTCGAAACCTGTGCAAATTTGGTGTTTGAAGAATGTTGTCCCGAATGCATAGCGCATGGGATGTCATGGATTTTAACCCCTTCAGGGATGCATGGCTGCAAGACCGAGTCGGACGCCGCCGCACACTGACATGTCACTGCATGGCACACTGCTTGTGGGTGGATTCATTTGCTACCCAGTGAAACATGTCCCGCCACGGCGCTTTGGCAATAGTACTAAGGTTAATAGTGCGCACTGCAGTGTATACTGATAGTTCACGCACTATTAGCGTCACGGTCAGTGCTATGCAAGTTTTAGCTTGGCGCCCTTGAAAGCAGTGCGCGTTTCGTGACCGAATTATTGAGTAGTAAAAGCAAATTAGGTTAAAGAGGCACAACGACAGAGCCATCTTGGTGCAAATACTGGTACATTTTGTATCGTTCTGATGTGAGAGTCCACTCCAGCAGACCAGTCACCCATGTACGGCAGTTATCCACGAAGGCCTTCATGTCGTTATCCAACTTACTGTCGAGGCTAGTTTGCCCTTCTAGCATTTTGAACGCCCGTTCAAACTTCTTCACAGATTCTTTCAATATGCTAATTATATCAACAACGACATGCCCCATATTCTTAGTTTCATTCCACATAACCGGGACTAAGTTCTGAATCGAGCCTGATGCCTACCATATAACGCATTAGTATTATCGTATTCAAGATAGAATAATGGGTTCCTCACAATTTCCTTTTGGCAAGAGTATATGTCGTTAATACTAAATTAAATTTTAGCTTGACAGCAGTATGGTGATTATATGTCTGATTACACCAAGCTCAACATTGTGGTTTCTTCCCAAATGATGCTCATCTCTTTCGAGTCCATAACGGACCGAGGCAGCTGGATTCTGTTCGTGGCCCTGGATCTTCCATTACCATTACTGGAGAATATGCAACACAACTCATTTAAGATCACTTACTCAAAGCAAGCAATATATGGAGTTACACCCACAGATCCCATTCGCATGCTAACATACTCCTCCAAGGTTGGTAGCTTCCCGTCTTGCTGCCGACCTTGCTCTATCACGACTTGAGAGATGTATATCTCTAATTCACGAAAGATTCGCTCTCTCTGGTCTGTAGGTGGGTCAGTTACAATAATATTAAAGCCTTGCGCTAGTTATCAGGGAAAATCTGAAACTGACCTGCATCTGCCGTCTCAACCAACCCATCACAAACTTCTTTAAATGCAGCCATACACTTGTACGGCGAATGATGAAGGCCGATATCAGTGCCATTATCAGTGTCAAGCTGTAACACATGGCGTATATAGGCGAGCGACTTTTTGCAGTATTGGCCGGTTTTCTCTTTATCTAACGCAGTCTCAGATTGTCCGAGGTCAATCTCGTCGTCCCATATGAAAACCCAAACCTTATACGCTGCAACGATCTGAAGCTCCCTCCATTCCGCTCTTGGATACATTCTGTAATTTTTTCAGTTGGGCAAATAGATATGGAACACAGGTTGACCAGGGCGGTGTACAGAGCGGCAAGAAGAGCAAAATCATGGCGTTTGATGTGGTTCCGTTTCTCTTCATCGATTATCGAGCTATCAATCTTAGCTAGGTACTGCGAGTGTAGTGGTATCGACTAACCTGTCAATAATGGTGTCGACTACTGGTCGGAGACGTTCCAAGTTCTGGTTCACTGCTGCCGGCCAGTCGGCAAGCCAGTGCCAAAGGCTAGGAATAAGGAGCTGCTGTCCAGCTATATCGTGAGCCAGTTGTTTGGCAGCATCGACACTCGCAACTGACGACATTTTATAAGTGATGCGCGAATGAACCTGGGTGGCGTGAAAGTAAAGAGCAGAAATAGTTGGATTTGAAAAACACTTGTAGGCAGCGTCAGCTGGTACCATTGCAACATCCACCAATCATATCGCTTTCTCAGATATGCCGCAGCTAGCTTCAAGTCACGATGGGGCCAAAGGGTACTCTGTAATACTAGTTATTATGTGTCAAGCCTCGTGTTGTGGCCCGGCTCTGCCCGAAACCACAGACTAAATTGTCAGGTGGCGGTGAAGATGCGCTGGCCAAGATCAGACTAACAAGTAATGCGGGGCAAGTCGAGCCTAAAAATGAGGGTGATACGCCACGTCACACTGGCATTTACAGTCAGGTGATGAACAGCTATGTGCAGTGCCGATCGCTACACATTCAATCAACGAAAAGTTTGTCGCACATATTTGTCGCCATGCAGTACTCCGTACAGGTATACATACATGCGTAATAAGACGCCAACCCCCCCAACTCACTTGCAACATCGCTAGTACGAAATTATCACCATCATGATTTCACTTTCGGTTCCTGCGGCGTGTTTGGTGATATTTCTTATTTTACAGATTATCCGCGTTGAACGAAGACTTTCTACCATTCCGGGACCCTTTATTGCCCGCTTTACTGACTATTGGAAAGTATACCACTTGGTGAAAGGAGACTATGGCGAGGCTCTTTACTGGTGGCATCAGCGCAATGGTAATATGATTCGTACGGGGCCTCGTCATATTAGTGTTGGGGACCCATATGAAGTCCCTAGAGTTTACCAGATTAATCCTCTTTTGCATAAGGTAAGCTTTTTTATTCATCATGCTTGAGCATATGTGATGGTAATGGCGATGACGACTAACACGGTACTTCCAAGGGAAATATGTACAAAGGCATTATTGGTTGGTTCAAAGGCAAGAATGTTGCAGGGCTTGAGGGAGTGGTTGATGAAGCCGAACACACAGATATCAAGAGAGTAATTGCGCCGGCGTTCTCATGGAGATCGGTTTTGAACTATGAATCCCACATTGACCACAGCGCCGAGGAATTGATACACAACCTCGAACAAAGGGAGGTGATTGACATCACCGAGTGGCTTTCATACTGGGCCATGGACAGTATGAACAACATTGCCTTTTCCTCCGACCTTGGGTTCATGCAGCACGCCGCGGATGTTGGCTGGACCTTGCGTACGGTTCGCGCGGTGACCTCAATCTGGATGTATATATTTGCATTCCCCACAGTTTTCATGTGGCTTGCATGGGCCGTGAGCTACTTCGTAGGCCCCAGCGGAAAATTGGTCAGCTTGTGCTTGGATCGCGTGAATTCTCGGATGGAAAAGATAGAGCAAGAGGAGAAGCCGCCGACGAAAAAAAGAGATCTTCTGGATGTTTACATCAAGGCACGAGAACAGCACCCTAACCTTTTTTCCCACGAGCGAGTCATCGGAATGACATTTACAACCCTCCTTACCGGATCCGACACTACAGCCTTTAATTTAGCGTGGACGGTATACTATTTGCTCAAACATCCAGCCACCCTCCGCCGTCTGCAGGAAGAGATTGACCAGGCTGTTGCGGAGGGCACACTGTCCTACCCTCCGACCCTTAAGGACATATCGAAACTCCCATACCTAGAGGCCGTCATCAAAGAGGGCCTTCGATATGGAATGCTACTCCAGCTGAGCATGGATCGGGTTGTCCCAAAGGGAGGCATGGAAATATGTGGTCACCATATCCCAGCAGGAATCACAGTCGGATGTCAGCAGCGAGTGATTCACCTAGACAAAAACGTTTATGGCGACGATGCTGGGAGCTTCCGCCCTGAACGATGGCTAGAAGCAAGTGAGGAAAAGCTGAAGGCCATGGAGCGGTGTGGAATATGGTTTGGAAATGGGAAACACACTTGCATTGGTCAGCATTTTGCTCGGGCAAAGACGATGAAGGTCCTGGTGATGATGTTGATGAAGGTCGAGGTGAGTTGGGTGGCCCTAATTCTCAGCAGCTATTTTGATACTTACTGCCAGCCTTACAGATCGCCGATGATAGCCAAAGTGCGAAAATGATATCCGGGGCCACCAGTGCGGTACGCAGTCCGACACATCCCTATTTCATGCGCGTAAAGAAAAAGACTTAGTGTCAGGTCGTGACGTAGATAAACAAGGTATTCAGAAGGCTAATAGTGTTTATTATATCAATCTGAAATACGCATGCCAGTTACGATGTGACTAGCCATACTGTGCAACTACCTCGCGAATCGCTCCGTTTACACTTGCTAAGTTGCGTCTTTTGCAATCGAAGCAGCAGATTATGGCACCCTAAAGCCCACCCCTGCACAGCAGTGCAACGACCAAACAGCACAACATTGCAACGGCACAACTACAGTAGCCCAGCTTGACAATCCGGCTGAAGTCCGCGCCTGGAAATGGTTGACATACGAACTTACAACAGTAACAGTCATTGTGGCCAGCAAGAGGAGGACTTCGGATTGATGACGACTCGGATCCGGAGGGGTTAATGTCTTCGCTATGTCCTCATTGACGGGCATTTACGAGGTTTAAATACTCGTATACGGAATTGTATTAGTCACCCCTGCCACTTACATAAGCCTGCTAACTAGTTATCTTGTAGGTTTGTTCATGTGCTACCCTGGGTTTCCAAAAGAGCGGTGAGGCTGCAGTGTCGCAACACAATTGGCATGTCCACTGCTGACACCATAGCTTGAGATGTAACGTCAAGCTGCGAGCCCTCCGCTTTCCGCCCAGCTTTTCTGGGGAAATCTTGTCAGTATCGGTGGAGATTCAGTATTGTAAGGATGTGTATTAGTTTGCTGTTTATAGACTAGCCGAGATTAGTCATGTTCACACCCATACAAGTTTGTATGGAGACGGGCATAACAATTCAGACAACTACCCATGGACCTGATTGGGCGTACCATTTGAGTATCGACAAATCTTGGCCTGAGTGGGTCTTGCCAAGACTTAATTATGCACATAAATCGGCCTTAAAGGGTAATCTTTGCAGATAGTCTGGTCCCTCTCTCGCTGCGTACGATCTTGGATTCGCCGATTGATGTCTCGGACTGTATGAGGCCCTGTTGTGTTGAGTCGTCTGCGTGATCTCTGGGACTTTATGGGTTCATCTCACACCAGCCTGTGCGCTACATCTGGTTCTCGTCTCATGAAAATTGAGTATGTTTATGTCAAGTTTCCCAGCGCTCAATGCATGTGACTACTTTCCTACAATCTAGCCCGCCCGTGCCACAATATTGGGCTAGCTATCTGCGGGCTGTCACTAGCGTAGGCAGTGACTCCGCTGTAGATCTGCAGGGGCCTTTTCGTGGCAAAGGGTTCCCCTCACTCAAGGCATGTGACTACTTTGCTACAATCTAGCCCACATGTTTCACAACATTGGGCTAATTCTCTGCGGGCTGTCTCTAGCGTAGGCAGTGACCCCGCTGTAGATCTGCTGGTAGATCGTGGAGCCGCTATGCCACGGCCGTCGCCTTACAGGACCTAGATTTTTCTATATTTCTCACCACATAATATATTAGACTACAAGACCTGACATCCGCCGATGAGCAGGATTGGTAATATTTCAGGAATCGATGTCTAGAACGTGACTTGAACAGGCATAGTGGTGCACTGAAAAACTCCAAATTGCCTATGGATAGACCTGTACATGGCCCATGGGCCGGCCCATTTGGGCCATTGGGTCAAAAACCCGGCCCATAGCCCATTAATGGGCCGGCCCAAAACGGCCCAATGGCCCAAAGATAGGGCTTTTTCTAGGGCTAACATGCGTTGCATAAAATATGAAGATTAAGCGAGATCTTGGCTGTAATGCTGTGGTTTCGATAATAAAGTGATTCTGTGATACAATAGTGATTTTTATATTGAATCAGATACAGTGAGAGCAGAGATGTGAATGAAATTATAGATTATATTAAGTAGTATATCCCTGTAGCCGTATCGATGGTATCCGGGCCCTCCCTGAAGCACGCTGAGTATTAGATTGCTTAGGTAGTAGAGGCTCTTCTTCCGCAGAGCCTCCTGCCTCATCTGATGTATCCTCTTCAGCTTCATAATTATCTCTTTTTCGCTTTGTATGATGCTGTAGAGGAGTCTTCTCCTTCTCCTCCTCCTCCTCCTCCTCCCCCTCACTAATCTCTATGATCTCCTGTAGAATATGCTTTGTGGTATCCTCCTGTTGAATATCTATCTCGTACTCTGTTTTATATTCTCGTATAAAAGCAAGTTGCTCCTCCTCAATATCAAATCGATTAGCACACATGAGCAGCATGAGATCCTGAATAGTCGTTGCATGGAGAGAGCCGCGGCGATAATGACAGATATCGCGGGCAGAATTGAATAAGCGTTCTACACCTACACCGGTAGCTGGGACAGAAAGCATGTCTCGAGCAATTGCTGCAAGCACTGGGAACTGCTGCTCATGGTCCCTCCAGAAATCAAGTGGGGAAGTGAGTATAGTACCTATTGAATGAATAGTTAGAGAGGTATGTATTGAAACTGTGTTTTGGGAGAATACTTACCCCCCTTCAGATACTGATGGAGCTCTGAGAGTGGTACTGCGGGTCGAGCTCTATAACTATCAAGCAATATTTCAATCTCTTGAACAGGCTGTGGGTAAGAAGGCCCTTCAGATTGTGAGCAAGTATCATGGAGTTGAACTTCATAGGCAAGAATTTGCTGCTCGAGTGCTGCTTTATATTCACCTGCAAAGTCCTTATCTTGCCACTCAGGGGTCTGAAAGAACTCAAGCTTATACTGCGGCGCTAAGATAGTTCCATTGGTATATATGTTGATAAGCCCTGGAGTATCGGTCGCTGAGTAATAGTCCTTGAGCTTATCTCTTGCTTTTTCCAGTGCCTGAAGCATCTGACGTTTCCATAAGATCTTCTTGTGGCACAACTGACGCTGGCGGCTTTCAAGATGCTCAAACAGACGATTATAGATACTGAAAACCATGTGAATTGTAATGCCTTTGGTTTTTGAGAGAGCGGTGGTGTATTGATAGAATGGCTGCGTAATGCAGATCAAATAATCAATCTGCTGCCACTCATCTCTACTCAGCTGAAGATCAGTATGGTGATCTGCCACACAGTAGGTATTAAGATAGGACTGAAGTCGCTTTGCCCGGCGGAGCATCAGAAATGTTGAATTCCAGCGTGTTCGTACATCTTGAATTAGAAACAGTTGAGAGCCTTCAGGCTGAAGGTTCCTAAAATTCGCACGGCGCTGAGGGCTTGCATTAATAAATACAGCAAGGTTTCGAATCTAGGTAAACCATAATAGAATTAGTAGAGATTCGGAGAATAGTGAGGGTATTAGATCATCAAACCTTGCGAAGGGTGCTGGCTATACTGTACTCTTTTGCTATTTGACGTGCTTTCTGCATATGCTCTTCTGACCAAATAGATTCAACATTCTCATTGACAGGGTTTGCTTTTATTTGACCAAGGAGCTGCTTAAGGCTCAACTGAATGACGTGAGCAAGGCATGGTACTCTGATAATAATGGTATCAGAGCTCAGGCCTTGAGAGAGATGAGTTTCCTGGAGAGAAGAAACAAGGGTTAAGTTATTGGACGCATTATCAGTAGTAATAGCCAATACTCGCTCCTTAATCTCATACTCTCGAAGTAGTTCAAGAACCTCTTGACTGAGATTTACCCCAGTATGCTCACCCTCAAGAGGTTTAAAATCAAGTAAAACCTCTCGGTATTCCCATTCTGAATCAATAAAATAGCCAGATACTGCCATAAAGGCTTGTTGAAAGGGCGAGGTCCAACAGTCCAGACTAATTGAAAGCTTTGCATGCTTTGGCAATTTCCGAAGTATCTCTTTCCGACGATCTTTTGCCTTTGTTTGAATCTGACGTTGTAATGTTACGCGAGAGGGCATATTGATAGGAGAGGGAGCTCGCTGAGCTAGTCGGATAAGCTTCAGAAATTCAGGGTGTTCGATCGTTGTAAAGGGAAGGCGTAATGTAGATATTGTTGTAATAAGTTGCTGTTTCCATCGGTTCTCGTTGAATGCTTCAGGGGCTATGGCTGCCTAATCAAGAGAGAGAAGCATTAGATGGTTTTCCGGCTGGAAAAGAAGGTCCTTACCTGATGCCGTAGTAGCCGCTGTATATAAGACCCTTTCCCTTGCGCTTGCCCTCTGGCCTGGCATGTTTGACGTGTAAGATGGCGGCGTAACGCAGTAGTTCCATGTGCGCTCTTACTAGAACGACTTATAGCATTTGGGTGGTGGAGAATAGCACCACATCGCTTGCACACCATCATTGGCTTCCCAGTAACACAGTGAGCAACCTGGTCGAATGAAGCCCAGATATCTGCTCGGCAGCCCTTTGTATCCCATACTCTCGCATCCTCAGCTTGCCCAGCAGATGTACGAAGCCACCATTCAACAAACTCTTCCTTGTTCATTGCTTCGAATATTATGTGGTTGTTGATAGGTTTAAGACACCCTGGGATATTGATAGGTTGGAAAGACTGTGTTGTTTGACTTGCAGAGTGCTCAGGCGCAATACTGTCAGAGTAAAGATCCAGGAAAGATGAATCATCAACATCACATGCCTCGCTATCATCTGTAAGGGTTATCTCTGGTAATTGGATTTCAGGCATAATGAAGAATAGGCAATTAATTAAAGAACGAGGATTGTTGAATAGATAGAAGAGAGTAGAGAAAGAGGTTACGAACTATTTTATTCTACAAGTACATACTCTCTATTTAGCTGAAAGATCAATAAAGCAGAGACTCAGGGGGGACGCGTTGTGTACGCAGCTCTAGTCTGATTAGCAACTTAGCCAGGAGACTCCATATTAAGGGTCTCTGATTGGTTAATTTAATGGGCCAGCCCATGGGCCGGCCCATTCAGCCTAGATATTCGTGAAGTGCTATCCCCCGCGGATTAGATGTCGGCATCGAATTTTTTTTTCACCCTCCGATGTTAATATTTTAATGGATTTAAGCCACCACCAAAGTAGTATTAATTAATTTAAAAATATAGAGAATCGAATCAGACTACTGCGCTCCCTATAGTATTAAAAAATCTAGGAAAACCTAAGTTCTCAACTACATCGAATTCACAAACGATCAAAGCAAGAAGGCCTACTAGCTTGCGAGTAAAGAAATATATATCTTTTGACTTACAATATATTTGGTGAATGGTAATCTATTTAGTAATTTGCCATAGTTAAAGCTGTATAATTAGAACACTATCAAATACCACTATTAATATTGAATATCTTGCATATAATTTATGCAAATTTGGGGGCTAAATGGGCCAAATGGGCCAGCCCATGGGCCGCCAAGAAAACCCATGGGCCGGCCCATGTACAGGTCTAGTACGAGGCAGGGATTCTTCAAGAGAATGCCAAAGATGAGGCTCATGGCATGGCAATGAAGTTGTTGAGACAATAGACATTTTTCCAGAGTGCCTGTTAAAAAGACCAAAACTGGCAAATAATGTAGAAAGTATTATAGCACCATTGAAAACGAAAAAGATTCAAAGCTCAACAAACCCCTCCCCTTTAGCTTCATTTTCTTGCCCTCGCCATGTTTACATACTTGTTTCTACTACCACCACTTGACTCGCAAAATGTCTCTACGTTTGCTGCTTTATAGTTTTATTGCAACAGTCCTCGTGACTGGTCTGTCGTCATCTACGGTTTAGGTGGGCGAGTGGGGCCTAGAGCGATCGTCGCTAAAGCTAGGACCAAATGCATCGACGGAACGCAGACGATCATTCGGGCCAACCAAGGCTCTGTATTTCCGGCTACCGCACGGAGCCCGGTCAAGACTGCCACTAAGCGCTTAATATGAACGTTATGATTGCGCCCTTTCAGTGCCCTTGCCTCCATCTTGGGGATTTTGCCAGTGTATCTAATAACCTACAGTTTGGCTTTAAATCTGTAGAGTCCATGGTTACGTTCGTCGCTAGGCCTCACCGAATCCCAGAAAGGGCCTAAGACAAGGCCCGAACAGGCTCCCGCTATAACCCGCAGAGCAAACTAGTTGTCCCTATCCACTATATTGAACCGTTCCTGGATGTTTTGACCTTCCGAAATACTTGTAGGCGTTAATATTTGTGAGTGTTGATCTGACTGGCTCTCTTTTCGTAGACATTTGGAAAAATTATGTATTAATTATGATCCTTACTTTATTGACTGGATTATATTTTGTAGCTCTCTAATATAGTAGACGGTATCCACACTCTGAACCAAGGCCCCTTCTGGGATCTCGCACTAAGCTGTGTGGTTGAAGTGGCTGCAATGTCCCTTCACTGCCATTTCTGCGTTGCCAATATCCTGCTTGTGATCATTCAAAGGAGATACTTTCCAGTACGATATCTGGCCAATCTTCCCTTCATCTGCGGCCTCATGACTTTCGTTCACCCGACGAGTGGTCTCATAATCCTCACTGATGGGTTCAAAGTCTGGATCATGCGCCTTGGGAGCTTCATTTGGTTCAAGCGTCTCTCGCCTACTGCTTTTGGTCAGTGATTTCTCAAAGCCTCTCAACTACTGACCATCCAGGTCGTCTTCCAGAGCACTTGTATATCCTCAAATATTGAATGGGCGACGTTGCAGACCAGGGCATAAACACAGAAAAAATGCCGGAGAAAGACTACAATATGACGACTCGTATGGCCATAAAAGCCAATATCAACGTCACTGAGATAAATAAGACAAGTATATTCATGCGAGAACAAAGAATTGGAGCATTGCAAAAAGAGCAATATTAACACGTTGCACCCAGGTGTCTCAGAGAGTTCTTGAACTCCTTTATGGCCGTGTCAACGTCATCGAACGTCAAGGCAGAGAGCGCCCAGTGAGCATGTTTCTGTGCCATAGAGATAGACTGGTCGTCAACCGACTGTGATGGTTCACTTGATGGTGCAGCGGGCACATGAGCGACAGGTGCACGTACAACTGCAGGTGGTATAGTTGCAGGATGCAGAAGATCAGAGCTAGCACCCGATAGGTCATGGAACGAAGCTGGGGCCAGTACGGCGACTGAAGAACTCGCAGCTCGTGGTGGGAAAGGGTGCACGGCATGAGAATAGCGCGTGGCATTGGCTCTGCCGAAGGCTGAGGCCCTGGGCATACCTGGTAGGTTCGGCACTGAAGACAAGCACCCAATTTTCGCCGGGGTTGAGTAAGGTTTTAAGTCTCCTGGGTGTGGGTTGCCAATGTCCTTTGTTCGCGCAGGAGAACCAGGGACATCGCCGAGTACAAAAGGAATATCAGAAGTCGAGGTTGCAGGCGGCCACTGAAGCGGCTCATTAAGGGGCCATTGCTGGGCTAGCTCCCGCCCTTTTAGCTGGTCGGGTTCTTCTGGTAATTGCTCGATTGGCGGCTGTCTGGGTCGAGAGGGCCGTTCGGCTACCGACCCATCGAATGTTTCAACCTCCTGAGTGGCAATTGATTCGTTTTCTTCCTCTTCTGGCACAGGATTCGTCATGTTGGGATCTTCACCATTCTTGATCGCCTTCACAATTCGGACTGCATGATACTTTCCAAACTTGATCCTTCCGGCAATCTTCGGGCTCAGAGCTCCCCAGATTTGACATAATTGGAGAAATAGAGCCGCCGCCTGGAATGTATCTGCAGTTTGCCTAGTGTCAAATCAGCGAAGAGGCATCTTGGTAGCCACAGGCAACAGTTGAGAGCTCACTTCGTGACATTGTTAACGTTCATAGCAGCCTCAGCGCGAGCAAAGATTTCCGACCCAAAGCGCTCGACTAGAGCACTCGCCGCAACGCTATCCACCACCAAATCATCGTCAGAATGCTCGATTTTGAACTATTCCACAGTGTCGTTGTCAGTCATGTAAAGAGCAGGTAAGGGGTCGAGTTGGGGGATTCGGCGAACCTGCTCAAGCTTATCCACCAGGTTGGTGGTGTAAATTTTAATTTCATCGTTGGAAGTATGAAGGCCCCGTCCGATGATCTGATTTACTATGTGAAAATTGCCTGCGATATTGGCGATTCAGTAAGCTCCAACATGCACTGCAACATCCAGGGGGTTGAGACTCACACCAGTAGGCAATCACGGGCTTGGTCTTCTCGATCTGGGCTGCTCTCATGGCAAAGAGGCCAATGTCAGTGGATCTCAGCCCCTCTGGAATAATTTTCGCCATGTCCAAGGTATGGGATAGGAAGAATGAATGAGACCCAGGAGAGGCGCCTGATCATGGTGGTTGATAGCGATGACATCATTGCCTGCGGAGGCGAAAGCTCCAATTCTCAGGAGCCCGAGTTTACATGTCAGCGCATGGAGTGGTAAATTACCAGTAGGAAGCGATTGATTCACCAGGCACCCACATTTGCTTGTGTTTTGTATGGTAAATTGATTCAACTAGGAACCTCGATGTGTTAACCACCGAGTATACGCAACATACAGAGGTATTCCAACCTGCCCTCGATCGAATGCTTATTTCGATTCAATCAGTCAATCTTTTTATCCCGAACTGATTCCGCTTTGTCTTAATCGTCCTGAATGCATACTAGTCCATACACTTTTAGCAAGTGCTGATATATGGCTAATGAGTCCCGGCGAAAGGTGGTGGGTGTGGCCGTTTCCTGCGTTCCGCTAAGACGTAGAAAAATGTGTTTTCATTGCCAACGCCAAAAAAACTCGGAGACTCTACTCGGCAGACATAGCTGAAATGAATAAAGAGATTTTTTTTTTGGTTTTTTAGTAAATGAGTTAAAGTAAAGTAAAAATAAAATCAAATAAAATGAAAAAAAAAAAATCGAGCGATTCGGCTCTTAGGGTCCCACTTCCCATCCGAGCTGACAGTGTGACCGGAGACCACTTTGTATTCCTTCAAAGCTGACAATTTCCTCATAATATACCAACAAAACCTAGATAAGTCACGTTCGGGGTACATGCTGACGAATTTGCGGTGAATATGGTGCCAGGCCGCAGCGACGGCGATGGAGTTAGAGAGCGTGGTGACTGAGAGGTTGATGGGCACATATGTCCCGGGCTAGGGCGGTCGAGGCCGTTCTAGACTTCGCCGAGGCGTCACGACGAGTTCGAAGCCGCGCGCCACGAGGGCAGCCTAACAACGCGAACGGCAATTCGGTCACGACAAGATTTGACGAAGCTCTAAGTCTGTTTTTCGGAAGTAGTAGTTACAACGTACATGTGTGTGCATGGAAATATACAATTGCTGTAGCCTGCGTATTGCTCCGCGATTGATTGTAAACCCCATCCACTAGGCTAAGTACATATGTATTCGTATTTTGGTCTAGTAAGAAAGCAAACTCTAAGGGTCGAGGTAGGTGACTAGGCTCCCAAGCCTTCTCACTCGATGGCCCAAATATCCGGTTGATTTTTGTGAAAGTCCTAAGAGAGTGAGTCACCGGACAGCGCGGGGAAATTCGAGGACGTGTTTTACTTGGATTGAAATCTTGACCCCCAGCAAATAATTGATTCTATTTTGTGCAATGACTTGACAGGGTTATAGATTAATTGGCTCGTCCAGCAATTTTCGTGCACTATCTATAGTAAACTGGTATATATGAAACGAAATTCCGCCGTGGCTTACATTGCTAGTTCTCGTGAACTACTTATATGGCCAGGCAAATCAAAAGATTCTTCAGCCCATTTAAACCTAGCACATAATAATTCGAACTCTCCATAAGCTTTCGGATTTTGAGTCGGCAACAGCAACGACGACAATGGGGAACCTCAGAAACATTACGTGGCTCAACGGAATTGACAGTCTACGCCCCGACGACTTGAACATGATCCCATTCGACACCATCACCACCGAGTCACAAGATGACTCACTCTGCGGTTTACCCCTCATTTCGCCACCGCCAGTTTTGTCACCGGGAGAATTCAATCAGATCTTCCCAAAGTCAGTAAACCTCAGCTTGGACGCATCATCAATACAACTATATTCTCCCCTCCAACTCAAACAGAACATATCACAGAACTGTTTTAATGAGAGATTTAGCATATCGTGCATTGCACCATCGGCTTTAAGACAGACCGAAATTTTAAAGACCGCGCAAGAATACACCTCCTTGAATATAAAAACACAATGCAACGGCCCGAATAAGGACAGAGAAAGCTCCATCACTTTTATCGAACATACTAAGCCAAAGCCTGAGCAGATAAATGGCAGCATCACCTCCAATACCGAATCAACCATGCAACCATCAAAACCATTAATGACCCTAGCCCATCATGAACTGCTGCTTAAACGTAACTGTCAAGCAGCGAAACGATGCCGTCAAAAAAGAAAACTGCAGGACCAGCAGGACGAATTGACTCTGAAAACACAAGCCGCTAGGAACAAGGAACTGTTGGCTGGTACCAAAAGGTTACAATACCAGGTGTTGGGTCTGCGACTTGAAATACTAAAGCATTCACAGTGTGAGGGGTACATCAAGCGGTACGTGGAGCAGATGACGGGAAGGGTCCTTCGTGAGGATACTGCAAGTGATGTTTAACAGGCAATTTACTGTGGTTTCATCAAATAACAAAGAAAAAGAATCATGTCGTTGCCGGCAGTTATATCTCTCTATCTTGGTAAACCAGGGAAGGCAGATTGAGCGGCTATACATGCTAGGTTTAGCCTATAGATTCGAAGCTTTATTATGGGATGGTTTTTAACTTGGGAGATTAATAGCCTTTTTGAGTTTTGTTCTTGCGTTAACGTTATCTTTCCCGGATTCTTTTCTTCTTCCTTTCTCTTATGCCTTCTTTTTTCCCGAACTATCCTTTCGTATCAGCATATTGTTTCTGTTGTGATATGAGGCTGGTGCAGATCAGGAATCAAGCCGAACCATCGCAATTAACTCCGTGGTGTCTATACAGAAGACCAAGTTGATTGGAAATCAACTTGGTTACACGTCGTATATATAGCCTCATCTTTCCTCCTAGAGTAAAACAACAATTCATACCTCTGAACTACAATAGTTTCTACAGTAGAATTCGAAAAAAAGATTACCCCCTTGTCACTCACGCTTTCTTTCCTAGCGCCCCACTCACTTAGCGCCAAACCGAATATGGTCAAAGCAAGTTCCAATATTTTTTCTTGATATATTTCTGGTAGATCATCAAATTACCTAAATACAGTTTCTGGCACTGGGCCAATATGTCCCCGTGGCCATATGTAGCCTAGCTTGAGTTTTAACTTAATGTAGCTCCGTAAAACTAGTCTGGAACATGATGGAACCCGAAAGTTGAGCTTTGGATTTCTGAGTCTGGCATTGGGCAAATGTGATTCGTTGGGGGTCTGGTGACTTGTTCTTAGTCGGTTTAGATAGTTAATTCCGCCCAAGCACCAGCAGCACGCCACCTTTGAAAATATGCGCAGGAGGCCTTTCGTCCATGGCCCCTGGTTACGCCACTGAGCACACGACCTTCGCTGTGCCCTCGCTAAAAAATTCCAGCAACCGAGCTATCCCATAACATTAGCGTGCTTGGCATTTCGCCGTTTTTGTTCGCCAGTCTCTTTATACCCCAAGCTAATATTCCTTCTTTCTGACCGTTTGATACCAACTGACTGAACGAATCACAGTCATTCGCTCATTCGACTCCTGTTCCCTCAGAGTGGTTAGGACCGATTTGATCCGACGATGGATTTGGACCAAGAGGAAGACTTTGGGGCCAGAAATGTCACCTTGACTGCCAAACCTACGGCCCAGACAGTGGCTCCTGAGCACGAGGCTCCCCAGAATCCTGCAATTGCGGCCGGCGTGCCGAGTAGCACATGCATCGGTCATACAATTCTACGGATCTACCGTTGCACACCGACACCAACGATTGTATTAGACGGCTCCCTGCAAGTAGTGGAAGTCTCTGAGAGCTACGAGGCTTTGTCCAATGCGCCTCGGGACCAGATAATAAACATCAGCGTGTACGCGTTGACACCACGCGTAATCCTGGCTCCAAACATCGCATCGCTAAGTCGTGCGCTGGGTATGGCTATCACCACACGGGCCGTTCAAGTGATCGACAATCTTCGCGTCGGGCAGAACGAGGTAGACACCGCACTCCGCATAACACCGATTTTTGATGGCGATGACATGATATACGTACTCATGGAGGTGCAAAAGGCGAAGCGTGAAATGGCTGGATTGAATGTCATGGGGGAACAGGTCTATCCAAACGAGCTGTACAGAATTATCGTCGACGCCGTGAAGGACTATGCAATTTTCATGTTGGATACACAGGGTCACATCACGACTTGGAACTCGGGGGCTGCGACTTTGAAGGGGTACACAGCCGAAGAGATTATCGGCCAGCATTTCTCCATCTTTTATGGGCGCGAGGACTGCAAGAAGAACAAGCCCGCTCGGGAGCTGGAGATTTGTTTACAGGAGGGCAAGGTGGAGGATGAAGGATGGCGTTACAGGAAAAATGGCACACGATTCTGGGCCAATGTGATGATCACGGCGACCCATCAATATGGCCGCCATGTGGGATTTGTGAAGGTCACCCGTGACATGACTGGACATAAAGCAGCTGAAGCGCACCTCATCGATGCTTTCGAAGAATCATCCAATCTGAAGTCTCGTTTCTTGGCCAACGTGTCGCATGAGCTGCGTACCCCGATGAACGGGATGTCTCTAGCTCTGGCCATGCTTATGGATACACCGTTGAATGACAACCAGCGCGAATATGCATCCATGATCGAGGGCTCAGTCAAGTTCTTCATGCAGGTGATAAACAACTTGCTGGACTACTCCCAAATGTCGTCGGATCCTTTACTTCTGCATACCGATATCTTCAGTATTCCCAACGAGGTCAGCATGGTGACCCGCAAATGCAAGTCGGGGACAAAGCCCGGGGTAGCCTTAGGGTGTACCGTTGCCCCCCAGTTTCCCCAAAACGTAAAAGGCGATCGGCTACGGTTCCGGCAGGTTCTGCAGAATCTGGTCAGCAATGCGGTGAAATTCACAGAACGCGGATATGTCCGCGTCGATGTCACGTACACCGTGGATGAGGATGATCCTGAGACATATATCATCACGGCTCGGGTAGTGGATTCCGGAGTCGGCGTCCCACATGATACAATCAATTCTCTCTTCGAACCCTTAACCCAATTTGCAGGCTCAGCCACCAAGAGTTTTCCGGCTACTAGGCTGGAATTCTCGATCTGCAAAACTTTAGCCGAGTTGATGAATGGAACGGTTGGCTTCCATGCGAATCCCGACGGGCCGGGCAACGTATTTTGGATGGCCGTAAAGATGGGTCGCGTCGATACATCGAATTTTCAAGCAACTCAGTCGCGCTCATGGGAAGACGAAACGCCCCTTGATACTTCTGCCCTTCTCCAGGTGGTTGCCCCGCAGACGCATATCCTGCTAGTCGAGGACAACAAGATCAATCACACTATCATGCTGAAGCTTCTGAATAGTCTCGGATTTGAACAGTTGGATGCCGCCTGGGACGGTACAGAAGCTGTGCGAATGGTGAAATCAAAGCCACTCGCCTACAACCTGATCTTGATGGACATCAATATGCCGGTCATGGACGGCTTGACGGCGACAGAGCATATTCGCAAAATGAATGCCGCTGTGCCTATCATTGCGCTGACAGGGAACGCTTTGAAGGGCGATGCCGAGACCTACCTGGCCAGGGGCATGAGTGACAGTGTCGCTAAACCACTGCATCGGCAGCAGCTGGCAAATGTACTTTGGAAGTGGTGCGGAACCCAATTTAGCGACTACCTTCCGCCGGAATCGTCTTCTCCCGTACAGTCCTTAGGTGGATATCGACAGGACCACGCGGGGGTTGAAACAGATCGCCCTCGCCGAAAGTCAAGGTCCCTCACGTACTGGCCAGTGCGTCCTGTAGGATAACCTTCCTGGTCGGTGCTGGTTGGTAGTGAAATCGAGGAGGCTCGGTTGGTTTCCGGTTGCATTGAGCGTGGCAGTGGGGGCAAATGGCCAAAATCATTATGGAGACTCGACAGCATTGCTAGTTGGTCTTCAAAATATTGTGATGAGGACGTACTGGCCAGCTTCCTTCATGAAATATATCATGGTGGCAACTTTGCAAGGCCAGCACCCAGGCGTTAAAATCCACAATAATGATTTTATTGGCGGGTTTTCCTATAATATCTTTGTCGGAATCTGTGTCGCATGGGTATTCGGAGCTGCTTTCTTCTTCGACCTCTTCTGGCCCGAACGGCATGAGAGCCGGGCCGTTCGACTAGCATGGAGAATATGTGCGGTGATCAGTACGTTCATGATGCTGGGCTCTGCTCTGACCATTTCGGTACGAGATCCACCAATGCCACGACCCAAGGGAACATATTATTCCTGCGCCAGACGATTCTTTCCCCGTTCCGGTCGCTAATCATGAATTGGCGAGATAGGTAATCACTGTGATGCACGAAGCAGAAATCACTGGAACGGATGTTGCATTGGCACGGGAATATTGGAGCGAGACCGCCAAGAAGCCGGCTTTGAGTAAAGGCTTACCTTCCTCTGCCCACGTTTGTATGGCGAGAGTTTTTCTAACTGGTACTCAGCCTACCGTACGAATCCAAAAGCCGTTGCATCTGTTGTCCTCGCATGACCTGGTTGGGTTTTCTGTGTTATTGGGTTTGTCTCCTCCTCGACAGTCAGAATATCCATGAAGCTTGGCTCAACTAATTATAATAGTACGGTCATTATGTTCATGTCACAGAAGCATGATGATCATTTCGGGCCTAAGTCAGAATACTGCCAAAGTAAAGAGCTCTACAAAGTTGCATCAGATCAGGAGGAGAGTCCAGACGTCGAGCAGAAATAGACCTGGCAGATCAAGTAATTGTCATGAAACGAGATCACATGCATTTTATGCGGGGTAATCTGCTTTATCAATTTCATCATGCACAGAAGTATGACTACTCTTTTAAAAGTTATGAATGATTGAGAATACGGTGTTTAGAAAATGACCAATTACCTCAGAGATTGCCAAAGCTGCTGAATGTAGTAGGACTTCAGTCAACATCAGTCAACATCAGCAAAAACGATCGCTGAGTGTTAAATGTCGGAACACCTCCAAATCACGTTTTCAGATGAGGAAGTGTAACTCCGCTTCTATACTGCGTGTGATCATAGCTTGAAAAGCTGGGCTGTACGCTGCAGAGATTGTAATCCTTATAAGACGAATTTTTATCTGCATGCTGATTTCAGTTCTCTGGCATCCCAATAAAGTGTCCTGCATTTCTTCGCTGCACGATTGCTTTGAGAGCTTATCAGGATAAACTGCAGCTGCCCCGTGGAGAATGGGCAGATCCGTCACTGTGTATAGGCACTCACATACATGCAACTCAGACTTTGATTTAGCCTGAAACTCTAACAAAAGAAAAAGGAGAAAAAAGACGACGACAACGTAGAAATCATTCAACATTTGAACTGCGAAATGAATGCTCATGATCTGTGAATATATTTGAATGAGGTGGCCGCTGTTGTGCCACCTCTGGTAGCGATAAAGTGCAGGCCCGTGTTGATGAATGTTGAAACAGGTTCTCAGCACTTTTCTGCGGACCACTGAGGGTGTTGAAATGGTGCCAACAGTGACGAAGGGTTATTCATATACTCAATCATCAAGAAGCCGAAATGCGTCTGGATACAGCGTAGCATCAATGCGGAACTGTTGAACTAGCTGAAATCTGAGGGTCAGCGGTGTTGAAACCCTCACAATTCGCAAGAATTGTTACATCGGCTCGAGAGTAAGGGTTAGATGCAATGCTATAAGTACCCAAACTCTCGCTAGCAGACCGGTCGTTCTTAGTCATTCCCTTGTCGTCCTGGAGCAAAGGATATCGATCACTTATCGACTTTGCCAGCTGCTCTCTCCAGTATGGACTGACCCAACCCCGAACTCTCATGTACTTGTGCTTGAACTGACCTATTGTACCGCTCCTAGTCTGTCTATGCTCAACAATGAAAACTGTAGACGGCACTCAAGTTTAGTTGCCCGATCAATTGAGACCATGCTAACGTAAACAATGTTTGATATCAGTTCCATCTCGACTATTACTTTGGGAGTTCAGTTAACGGGACTGGAATGGTCTCGATAATAACTCAGGTTGCGAAGACGATGAGTTATGAAGGGCCTCCATAAGCTACCTACTGGTGTTTTACCATAGATCGAAACCATCCACTACTTATCCGACTCGACCAAAACTAGGATTCGTGCAAAGCAGTAGCTGGCAATCTAAGTTTCGATCAATATGTCGGTTTCGAATGTAGTTAGCCTGTGCTGACGCTTCACTGTATAGGAAGTCGATTGTTTCACTATGAGCCAGCCCATGTCTTGTAAATTGCCCCAAGCGTTGCCACTGCCTATTCCCAACGCCCGTGACTGCGTTTTGAAACTCAGTGCGGTGTCTATCCGTTTGTGGCTCTTTTTCCTTCAGAAATACCGCTGATATCCTTTCTCAGCTAGGTGAAATCTCAATATTCCACTCGACACGACCGAGCCGGATGGTCCTATCATCCTCGAAATGAAGCCAGATGCACCAGCCTGATGGGCCAAGCTACTGACTCCGAATAAGCTTGCACCTTCGTTTTAAGACTTTGTTGAAACGGCCAATTGCCTGGCGTATTTAGCTGGCTTAATTCAGGAAGTCTTGATGCCCTCCGGTTAGCCATACTGTAACAATCCAAAGTGTTTTCATCTCTACAGCATCACCCCTTTCGATCAAGGCTTACCTGTCAATGTATTAGTAACTTGCCGGATTCCGACGGCTACGAACCTCTTGTCACATGTCCGATCTGAAGCCTTGTCGCAGCCATGACCCGGACCCGTGCTAGACAGAGCGAGCCATCGCAGCACCTGACGACGAGGAGATGTCTAACATCAGTCCCGACCCACCCTTCCTCTGGGAAACTGTCGGGATATATCCTCCCGTCAGAATAAGCAAAGACATGTTGTACGTAATCTTGCTAAGCTGCGGCTCCCGCCGCATGGATTCAGGGGTATTTGGCCTTGACCGGAGACACATCTATCATATACACGAATCAATCAACCTTTGCTTTAGAAGCATAAACTGTTCACTTAACTGTGTACACAGGACCTAGCTGGTGATACCAACACTGATCAGTGGTTGATTACAACCACAGAACAGCTCGGTTTACACGACCTGGAAGAGGCATTGACCGCAAGGGAACGGGGAAACGGTTGCAGTACCCTCATTGCGGAAGGTGTGCTAAAGGATATCAAAGTATCTCACTGGGAAACGGATGCAGTATCTTTGAGACACGGAGGATTTCCAAAAGATCTACAGTTGAAACCGCAACGAAGATCTGCGTCCATCACGCGAACAAGGCGTTAACGGGAAACACTTGCAGTACCGTCACGACACGCAACCTAACACTCAATTCGTTGATCCATTCCACCCACTGTTACCCTCGCCTGAACAGCCATGCTGCCAATCCCGGACAACCTCCCGTATCCCATCGAGGAGAAGACATGGGGGGAAATCCGTCGATACACTGGATGAAAAGAACCAAACGGAAGGAATACTAAACGGCCATATAACTTGTGTACTACGGGCATGGAACATGATGCGCATTACCGACCGTGCCCTATGGAACGATTTTCGCGAGGAGTTTAATGGATGGACCCTAGGCACATTCAAGGTGGCCAACAGGGCCGCATTGAAAATGGTTCGAATTCACCTGACTACCCACGGAGTATGGATCAGGGTAGGTCCAGGGATATCTTATGCGAAGGGACTATACGACTGTCTCCAAGAGATCACTCAGCAGGAATGGACCAAAGAAGACATCGAGGACCATCTAAAGGAGCGCGCAGATAGCTTCAACTCCAGACGGAACCCTGCACGCGACCGATCACCAACCATCCAACCAAATGCCCCAGCAGCACGAGCTACTTCGGTGGATCCATCAAATCCCCAAACCCTACGAACCGATGTTGCGAAACCACACGTCGAACGAATCGACCAGAGAAAGGAAGAAGCCAGATTCGCAACGCTCGATACAGCCGCGGAGGTTATAACCAGTAAAGAGGAAGCTACAGATCCGGAAACAACCGTGACCTCGCTCCATTTCGTGGATCAGGACCGCGAGGAGACTACCGGGGAAGTCAACAAGGCAATCAAGGGTCCCCCTAAGGGAGATGCTATATCTGTGGACGACCAGGATGCTGGTCGAAGTATCTTACCGGGGAAGAACGAAAACGATCCCTCGACAACTCCCGCGAGCAACACTTCTTTACAACGAGGCCGAGGACGACCACCAGATTCGAAGAACAAGCCGAAGCCGCAGGCATCCGTGCGGCGAAGCACTCCACGACATGCTGTTAATCACCAAGACCTCGAGGACCAGTTCATCAAGGCCATCCAGGAAGAACAAGAAGTTTCAACGGCGCTCATAACAAACAAAGAACGAGCCGACATGGAACTGTCCATCAACTTGAGGAATGAAGGTGTCATCACGACCCCTGGATTGCCATTCAATCAATCTCGGAACGAGGAGATTGAAGGACTGATAGCCAGAGGCATGTTCGACTTCTTGCAATACGACCCAGTCAAGCACGCTGACGCACACATCTTCAATTCGCATTTAGTCAATGAAATCAAGGGCAAAGCCACGGGTACGCCTTTCGAGAAGTCACGACTCGTCATCCAGGCCTACAATAACGAAGGAAAGGAGATGATTCTCACTCAATCCCCGACCATTCAGCGAGCTAGCCAACGTGTCATCGTTGCACTAGCCCCGTCACTTAGCGAAAGGAACATCTACCTATCGATCCGGGACATCACACAGACATATGTCCAGTCAATAACCTCATTGAACCGACTGATTCTGGCGCATCTCCCCAAGGAGATCAAGAGCAAGTTCCTAGAAGGCACAATTATGGTAGTGCGGAAACCATTATACAGTATCCCTGAAGCCGGAACCCATTGGTGGGCAACGTACCACAAGCATCACCGGGAAAGGCTTAAAATGGTCACATCTACCTATGACCCATGTCTTTTGATCTCGACAGCAAAGGCAGTCTTTGGTGTTATCGGAATACAAACCGATGACACTCTGATTTTAGGGTCCGACGATTTTGCCAAGCTTAAAGAAAAGGAATTAGTGGAGGCAAAGTTCAGCGCTAAGCCCAAGGATACACTATCTCCAGAGGACCCACTGATATTCAATAGCTACATCCTGACACAAAATGATGGAGACGTTGCCGTTGAGTTACGCCAGAAGGAGCAGGGTAAGAGACTCAAGCCCATCGACCATAAATCTACGGATTTCAAACACGTATACATGGAACAACGTGCTCGCGGGGCGTACATTGCAACGATCTGCCAGCCGGAAGCTACATTCGACCTATCCGTTGCCGCCCAACACCAGAATCCTACGGAAGCCGACGTCAACGCGTTGAACAAACGCATCATGTGGCAAATAAAGAACCTGGACAGAGGCATCAAATACATCGCGATAGACCTATCAACTACAAAGCTCTTCGTATTCGTCGATGGATCATTCACAAACAACAAAGATTTCAGCTCCCAGATCGGATATAAGATCATCCTCGCAAACGAGTCCACAAAGAATGAGGAATTTAAGATCACCGGAAACTTAATCCATTGGAGCTCAACCAAGAGCAAACGCGTCACCAGGAGCATCCTGGCATCGGAGATCTATAGGATGGTGGGAGGTATCGACATGGCAATTGCAATCGGCACAACAATCAAGATAATCATGGACCAACTTAGTTTTAAGAAAATCCCTACCATTGTATACACAGATTCATACTCTCTCTACGAATACCTCGTCAAACTCGGAACCACCAAGGAGAAACACCTCATAATCGACATCATGGCACTTCGCCAGTCATACGAGCAAAGAGAGATAATGGAAATAAGGTAGATCAACGGGAGCGACAACCCAGCAGATACAATGACCAAAGCAGACCCCAACAAGGCCTTAGAGAAGTTCATCAGCACAAACACCTTACGAGTGCGAGTTGAGGGGTAGGTAGAGAGACAATAGGATAGTATCGTGAGACCTACAGATACAAGGAAAGTACAGTATAATCGAAGTCGTTTTTGTTCGTTCGCTTTTGCTCGTTCGCTTTATTCCTTTTGTTCGTTCGTTCATTTCCTACTTCGTCCATTTCCTACTTCGTCCATTTCCTACTTCGTCCATTTCCTACTTGGGGACACTAGGCCTTTGCACAAAAGAAAAGTTGCCAGTGTCGGGATATATCCTCCCGTCAGAATAAGCAAAGACATGTTGTACGTAATCTTGCTAAGCTGCAGCTCCCGCCGCATGGATTCAGGGGTATTTGGCCTTGACCGGAGACAGATCGATCATATACACGAATCAATCAACCTTTGCTTTAGGAGCATAAACTGTTCACTTAACTGTGTACACAGGACCTAGCTGGTGATACCAACACTTATCAACTGGGCTCCTGTCTTTCAAAGAGTTGATACATAGGAGTGTGGCCATTGGACTTCCGCCTCTAAAGACATTACTGTAAGCGCCGGCACTGGGTGTCGTTACATTGACCTGGCGCGTCTCGGGGAATGAAATTTCCGTGAATACCGGCGAGCTCGCGGTCATGCTGGACTTAGATCTTGTCTGATGATTTTGCAGGTCCCAGAATTCTCCTAATGTGGCCTGATAATGAATTTCACCATTGATATTTGCTGACCTCTACGGCATCGGTTTCTAAGTTAATTATCACCCCGAGGATCAATCATGTGAGACTCATTTTTTATGAGGCAATGTTGTTTCCAGATTGGTCAGTCTCACCTTTCCATTATTACTTCGACCTCCGAAAAACTTTGGTTTTTGACAGCATTATCTAGAAATGCTTTATTAGTCGGCAACAGATTCTGTGGCAAAGAAGTCTTCGGATACAGGTCGTACAACCAAAGGGTGCGTTTAACCATTCCTGGATTAGACACTATTTCAGGAAGGCAGAAATCTGATAGGCATAGAAAGGCATAAAGTTGAAGGTGAATGCCAAGATTCAAATCTCAGAGCCTATAAATAAAAACTTACGATTTTTCAATCCCAGCTTGGGTGCCGTCTGGAATGTCATTCTTGACGTCAGTGTCGACACCATACAATATAATCAGGATCACAGGGCTTCGCAAACTACCACGAGCATCATTGATAAGGAGTTTGAGCGCCTGAAGAATATGCGGGAACAAAGAGATTATGAATTACCTCGATAAAACTCACAACGAGATCCAACTCACGGGCATATTCAACCCCAGAGGCCCGTATAAGAAGTCGCTCATTCATTTTGCCGCGATGGGAGATTGCACCGAGCTTCTTCAAAGTCTGCTGGACATCGGTGCTCCTGTCGACGATCTTGATCATAATAAACGAACACCTCTCTCCTGGGCTGCAGAATATGGCTCGCTCGGCGCCACCCGAATTCTGCTGAAGAAAACTGCCAAGGTTAATTCACTGGATGATATGTACTGCTAGCCGCTTACATGGTTGATCCATGCTGGTAGTCCTCAATACAAGGGTCTTGATGCTACCAGATCATACCTCAAAGAGAACGGGGCCACTACGAAGGGTGCAAAACGCGCATGGATACTTAATAAATTGCGACTCCTCTGAGGATGAGAATGAGGCTACCAAGGTGTCTTCTGGCCATGATATGTCCTGATTGAAGCCACAGTTGACATTCTTAGCCTCAAGTTTCCAGCGATACAGTACAAATAGTCGGAAACAGTCTGTCGGGATATATCCTCCCGTCAGAATAAGCAAAGACATGTTGTACGTAATCTTGCTAAGCTGCGGCTCCCGCCGCATGGATTCAGGGGTATTTGGCCTTGACCGGACACACATCTATCATACACGAATCAATCAACATTTGCTTTAGAAGCATAAACTGTTCACTTAACTGTGTACACAGGACCTAGCTGGTGATACCAACACTGATCAGTGGTTGATTACAACCACAGAACAGCTCGGTTTACACGACCTGGAAGAGGCATTGACCGCAAGGGAACGGGGAAACGGTTGCAGTACCCTCATTGCGGAAGGTGTGCTAAAGGATATCAAAGTATCTCACTGGGAAACGGATGCAGTATCTTTGAGACACGGAGGATTTCCAAAAGATCTACAGTTGAAACCGCAACGAAGATCTGCGTCCATCACGCGAACAAGGCGTTAACGGGAAACACTTGCAGTACCGTCACGACACGCAACCTAACACTCAATTCGTTGATCCATTCCACCCACTGTTACCCTCGCCTGAACAGCCATGCTGCCAATCCCGGACAACCTCCCGTATCCCATCGAGGAGAAGACATGGGGGAAATCCGTCGATACACTGGATGAAAAGAACCAAACGGAAGGAATACTAAACGGCCATATAACTTGTGTACTACGGGCATGGAACATGATGCGCATTACCAACCGTGCCCTATGGAACGATTTTCGCGAAGAATTCGATGGATGGACTCTGGACACATTGAAGGTGGCAAGCAAAACCGCATTAAAGATGCTTCGACTTCATTTGACAACCAATGGAGTATGGATCAAGATAGCTATAGGGGTATCATACGCGAAGGGATTGTATGACTGTCTCCAGGAGGACACTCAACACGAATGGACTAAAGAAGACATCGAGGCCCATCTGAAAGAGCACCCAGATAACTTCAACTCCAGATGGAACCCTGCACGCGGCCAATCATCGACTATCCACCTAAATGCCCCAGCAGCACGAGCTATTTCGGTAAACCTACCAGATCTCCAAACCCCACAACCTAGTATTGCGAAACCACACGTCGAGCGAACCGACCATGGATGGGAAGAAGCCAGATCCACAACGCTCGACACAGCCTATACGGGCAGCCACATACAGCAACAACCTAGTTACGACAGAGCCCAACAAAATACCCAAGATATGCCGCTACCGAGAATGGTCGAAGCAATCACGAGGCAATATAGTAATACGGACGACAAGTACGGTGGAGGACTGTATGACGACCTCAACACGAAATTGGTCAGGTTCTACGACATCTGTGAAAAGATCGGCCTACGGGAACATCAATTCCATATTGCGTTCTCGCTTATGCTCAAAGGGAAAGCAGAGAAGTTTTATTTCACAAGGATCAAGGGGAAGGCAAAAGATTTTCCGACAATGGTAGAGATGATGAGGGCCCACTTTGACACAGAAGAAAACCGTCAAAGATCTATCACTGAATGGAGAGAGGCCACCTTTCCGAGAATAATTGCACAGAATCCGGAGAAGTCGCGCTCGGAATGCCTCGAGATACTGTTCGAAACACTCGAGAAGATCCAGCCAGGATTGCCCCCAGAACACCGGTCGGAGACGACCCTACGGGAACAAACTATAAATGCCTGCAGAGGTGTCGAGGAATGCAAATTCTCTATATATAGGCCGGCGAGCACCTTGGAAGGAGTACAAGCTGAACTGCGATCAGCAGTTGCCAATGCGACTCTTTCATCACAGTCGGGGCAATTTCAAGCTCATGAGGAGTACGACGTGCATGATCAACATTGGACTGACCGCACATACGGAGGGAGAGGTCGCGGGTACAGCCGTGGAGGTTACAACCAGCGCAGAGGAAGCTATGGATACGGGAGCAACCGTGAACTCACTCCCTTTCGTGGATCAGGACCGCGAGGAGGCTACCGCGGAAGTCCACGGGGCAATCAAGGATCCCGCCAAGGGAGATGCTATGTCTGTGGACGACCAGGATGCTGGTCGAAGTATCATACCGGAGAAGAACGAAAACGATCCCTCGACAATTTCCGCCAGCAACACTACTTCACGACGGGCCAGACAGCCACCCCACAGGACTTCCAAATGTTCATCAGCGACTTTGAAGGCACGGAGAAGATCGAAGGGCTAGACGACAGCGATAGTCATGACCCTACCCAGATGCTTGCAACTATAACTATTGAGGATGATGAGCACGAGGGGTTCGTGACTGAACTCGGAGACGTCGATGGAACAAGAATGATATCCATCCTGAACGATCAGGCAGTATACCACTTCTTCACCAAGGACGACATTTTTCAGCAGCGACAAGCCGACGGGCAGGCTATGGAAGTGTTCACACTCGATAACCGATATTCATCCGACACGTTCCAAGGCATCATGCCAGACACTGGAGCCTCTGGGGTTTCGTCCGCTGGAGAACCTCAATTCAGGGCATTATGCAAGCTTGACCCCAAAGTCAAGCTCAATACATTTCGGGCTGCGGAGCAGAAGATCAAATTCGGAGACGGGGATCCAAAACCCTCTTTAGGGACCGCTGATGTCGATACCCCGATTGGCACCATTACGTTTCATATCCTACCCACGAACACACCATTCCTCTTCTGCCTCAAGGACATGGATGCTATGGGGGTGGAGCTCCGAAACAAGAAAAACGTGCTCGAGAGAGGAGACAAGAGAGTACCCATCGTACGTAAATGGGGACACCCATGGATGTTGCTGCACAATCTAGAGGAGATAGCAGCATGGAGCCACCTTACCGAAACGGAACTACGACAACTCCACCGACGTTTCGGACACCCATCAGTGCGGAGATTAACTCGAATCCTTCAACGCGCTGGGCACGACGTAAATTCACAGTGCGTGGACTATCTCACGAAATTCTGCCACCATTGCCAGATGAAAGGTAAATCCCCAGGACGATTCAAGTTTACCCTGAAAGATGACTATGAATTCAACTACTCAGTTATCGTCGACGTCTTATACCTCGAAGGAAAACCCGTTTTACAAGTCATCGATGCAGCCACATCGTTTGGCGCTGCGAGATTTCTGAGAGATATGTCTGCACGCAATTCTTGGGACACACTTCGTGCATGCTGGATCGATACCTACCAGGGACCACCGGACTATGTTGTACACGACGCGGGGAAGAACTTCATATCTACAGAGTTCAAGCAGCTTGCATCTTCAATGTCGATCAAGGTCAAGGAGGTCCCCGTGGAAGCCCACAACAGCGTGGGGAAAGTGGAACGATACCATGCACCACTGCGCCGCGCCTACGAAATTCTCAGGGAAGAGCTCAAGGACGAGAATATTGACAGGGAAATGATTCTGCAGATGGCTGTGAAAGCTGTCAACGACTCAGCCGGACCGGATGGAATTATTCCAACATTGCTTGTCTTTGGGGCATACCCGAGAATGACCGAAATGGATCCACCATCACCCTCGGTAGTCAAGAGAGCTGAGGCTATCCGTGCTGCAACCAAAGAGGTCCGTCGCCTACATGCGGAACGCCAGGTGAATGATGCTCTTGCCATCCGCAACGGGCCCAATATAATCACTACGTTGAACCTACCATTACAATCAGATGTTCGAGTCTGGCGCGAGAAAGGTGGATGGAAGGGCCCATACAAGCTCTTAGCGGTGAATGGAGAGACTTGCACCGTTGATATGCCACACGGTCCTACGAATTTCCGGTCAACCATTGTCAAGCCCTACTACAGGGAAGAGTGCCCAGAGGCGGAAAGAGGACAACGACATGTGAGGGAAGACGGTGACCAAGAGGATAAAACCGTTGATGCGAAAAACACGGAAGAGCCCGACAAACCGACTGAGACCCAACGGCGAGGCCGAGGACGACCGCCAGGATCGAAGAACAAGCCGAAGCCGCAGGTAACCGTGCGGCGGAGCACTCGACAGAATGCTGCTAATCATCAAGATCTCGAGGATCAGTTCATCAATACTATCCTGGAAGAACAGGATGTCTCAATGGCGCTCATGACAAACAAGGAACGAGCCGACATGGAACTGTCTATCAAGTTGAGGGGCGAAGGGGTCATCACGACCCCAGGATTACCATTCGATCAATCTCGGAACGAGGAGATTGATGGACTGATAGCGAGAGGCGTGTTCGACTTCGTACAATACGACCCAATCAAGCACGCTGGCATACGCATCTTCAATTCGCGCCTAGTCAACGAGATCAAGGGCAAGGCTACGGGTGCGCCCTTCGAGAAGTCACGACTTGTTATCCAGGCCTACAATGATGAAGGAAAGGGGATGATTCTCACACAATCCCCAACCATCCAGCGAGCCAGCCAACGAGTTATCGTTGCACTGGCCCCGTCACTGAGAGAGAAGGGCATCAGTCTGTCGATCCGGGACATTACACAGGCATATGTCCAGTCAACGACCTCATTGAACCGACTGATTCTGGCACATCTCCCTAAGGAGACCAAGAGCGAGTTCCCGACAGGCACAATCATGGTAGTGCGGAAGCCGTTGTATGGAATCCCTGAAGCCGGAACCCATTGGTGGGCAACATACCACAAGCACCACCGGGAAAGGCTCGGGATGGTCATATCTACTTACGACCCATGCTTGTTGATCTCAACAGCGAAAGGAGCTTTCGGTGTTGTCGGAATGCAAACCGATGACACTCTGATTTTAGGGTCCGACGATTTTGCCAAACTTGAAGAAAAGGAATTAGTGGAGGCAAAGTTCAGCG